ACAATCAGTTTGCTATACGAACATGTGCGCAAAGGTGAATCGTGATGTGCATCAATCACATTGACTATGATGAATAAAATATTAGCATAAACAATTGTTTCATTATATTTTGATGTTTTTCATGACCATAATGCAATTGGGTCTTGTTTAGCCGCAACTTTATACAATGACATACTGAAACATTTATGTTGTCAGGAAGGGTGAAATGGTGTAAAACATTACTGAAATTTCTCAATGGAAATTTCACTTGATAAATTGTTGTACATTTTAATTAAAGGGAACGAGTTGAACATATCTACGGCTTTTAAACAWTAGTCACAGAATACCGTGATACTGCATAGTGCATTATAAGACCGGTTGCKATTGGAAAGCTCAATTGCTTTCCATCGAAGATACAGAAACAAAATAGCTACATTTAATAGTCATAGGTACAGATTAAAAACACAGTATGAATATTTTGTTCTATCCTCATAACGGCCTTGAGCAATGGAGATTATATTCTAATGTTGGACATTGTTAAGTCTAAAAACTTTAGTTCTACTTTGAATAGCTTCTGTCCTAACTTTTTTAATCTGTCCGAGAAGGTTCCTTGTTTTGGGAAACCCTTCGAAGTTACAGTAAACACGAAACCTTGGTCAATCATGCAGAAAAATGGATATTGGTAGTTATGGGAACTAATTCAGCCAGACACATTCAATATGGTTGACGGGGATTTGAACAGCTAAATACTAGCGATTAACATGGAATTGTATTGTGGGTAAAATACATAAAACATAAGGAAAATCCCTATAGTGGATCGAGAGTCACAGTTTTGGTCTGTGGTTTCCCTGTGGTGACATGCTGTGCGTTGTCAGGGGCTCCCAAAAAAGGGAAACTTCCCGGACTGTCAATTTAACGGAAAAATGCCAGAAAACTGTTTTTCGTCATAAAGAAAATGCAATGAAATAAGCAACGAAAATTTAAATAATCAAATTCACTGAGTTGAAAATCCACATTAACCGCACATGGAAGAATGTTTCTCTATCAGGAATTGAAAGCTCATGTGATGGATTGGAACCATTGACTTTCCCACTTTCAGATTTGAAATTTTTTTCCCACTACCGACACTATAAGGTTTGAAAATACAAATTCGCCAGATTTGAATGACGAGGGATTTTAATCAAATAAAATTATGAGGCAAGTGCTGAGGCTGATATGAATCAAAAAGTCATTTTTTTCATGGAATATTCTAAACTGTGGTTATGCGTTAAGTCGTTTCGTTTCGATACAGAATACATGTAATATTACTTTGTCAATGTAARCAAAGAAAATCGTCTTCATACTTTTAATTTACAACGAAATCTATTTCAAGACGAAATGGCAAACTTCAACCCCCAACCAATAACCAACGTCAATAATAACCAGTATTCCATAATTCATGAACTTCACAAATTCAATCAAAATATTGTATTAGATTAATTTATAGAACAAGTATATACAGCCTCGTGTTCGGTATAGACTATTTACCAAATTATAATAAAGGAAATGTTTTGAATTATTAAGAAAGCTAGGCATAAAGGCACACGAAATATATCGGCAAACGATGTGAACAAGAGCTCTTAGCTATCACAAGAAAACCACACATTTTTCGGTAACTTTTTCAAAAATGATATTGTATCGTGTTTCCAAAACCATTGAAACCAATAAAGTTATAAAAATGAAATTGGATTTCAAACGATTTCCCAACAAAATTTTAAGGAAACAATTACTGTCATTCATCATTTCCGTTTATCGTCAAATGATCAGAGTTCTTGAAGGGCAATTCATCAAAACTACAACATCAGTCAAGCTTGATAGCAGCCCTAGACCCTTAAAGTCAGATAATAAACTTAACAACAGTGTCTAATTTCTTGAAAGAAAAGATAGCGATGTCAGTTTCGATTGAAAGCTATTGATTTTACTACAGCAGCCACAATAATTGAAGTGAAATGAAAGTTACTTTACAGTGAAACATTTCGTTTCAGTCTGTAATTGGAAGAGGAAACGCCAGGGGTTTTAAACCTAAACATACCTAAATTCAATATGGTACAAGTATTCCGGGAAGTTCAGATAATAGGGATGGTCTTCTGAAAAACAGTGATGGTATTTATACATTTAACGGGAATGATGACGAATCAAAGTAAAAATACCATACCTTTTTAGGCTCGTGTTTCTTGCGGAATTTTGGGCGTACCATTATGGCACGGCGCATTCTGACGGCACGACCCGGAAAACAAATATAAAGATGAACAGAAATCCACCAAAACACTCAAGAATGCTGAAATAACGTCATCTTAAATATTCACAATTTGTTCTCAGAAAGAACTTCGYCATTTTAACTGACGCCATTCATATCACTCGATTTAATGAGGTGAAGAATCATCCAAAATAAGTTAAGCGAGGGAGGCGCGCACAAGGTGTCGACGTCATAGGGCCAATTAGTGGTGTAGCAACGTTTTTTTCAGATATCTGAATGAATTGTTACAAAAAACGACTCTAATAACTGAGAGAGTAAAACGAAGGCTTTTGTAAAGAATATAAAACATTTAAATTAGAACATTGTTATTTAGTAAAAAGGAATAAATTAAAAGAGACAAAAAAAAGACCACTCAGGCTCTTTTGGCGGTCTGTTTAATGTATTCCTTTTTACTAAATACAAATCTAYTGGCTATCACAGCGTTTTTGCAATTAGTTAAATAAACGGTACAGAGACGTGGAATAGAATTGTGATTAAGCTCTATTTGTCACAGAACAGTAGTACTAGTAGTAGAGCAATGCTTTTAGTACAGAGACTGACTGTAAAAGGTTATAATGTTAACAGGAAGGTTACAATCTATGGAAATAAATTCAGAAAATTAAAATTCGATATGATTCGAACCTACTGCCTTCGCAATTGTTYCCCTCATTTTAAATATGTTTATTCAGAAATTTAGGAAATGAATAGAATCTAGATTAATAAATATATATTTTGAGGTCATTTCCCGGATAATATAGACAACAAACATAGAGCAAGCATGCCATCATAATTATTGATAATTATTTCTAAATGGCATAATTAATAACGCATTGGAGCTCGTATCTACAACCATTTGTCATGGAAACAACACACTGCTATCAAATTGTTGCTATAGAAACCAAATGATTTTCTACCTTACCTACTTTGCTAATTTCTTGGCCTACAAAGGCTACAGTTTGGATGAATACACATTTAGTATTGTCATTTCGAAATAACTTCAATAAATTATAAAAATAAACTATTTTCTCATTGACAATGAATATTGTTATTCAACAAATAAGATTCCATTTTTCTGTGCGTCTGTACTCTCATAGATACACAAATKACCGTCTGATAGCTCTGATAATATTTTCAAGACAGACTGTTTTTTTACCAAAATCACAGTTTGGAGTGCGTATTTTAATAGTGCGAACGGACACCTCAGTGAATCATGGTCCTTCGTTCGCTAGTCCACAGGTAACCCAAACTAAGTGTAACTGCAATTGGTCAAATGGCTTCCTAACAATGAATGAACCAAGCTTTCTTTTTTGGTAAAAATAACTTGAAGTACCAAACTGTTGCATGTAATTAGATGTGAATTGATAAAATCTCGTTTAGAGACAAAAACGTGCTTTTCAATAAGTTTAATAAACTGAGGCTTCATGCCTTCATGTGTTTTGGCGAATCAAATATTGAAGATAACTTAAATCCCTAGGAAAAAAAAATCAATTAGAGGTTTGTCTCTATAATAGAATTGTATTCTTACCGTTAATGTATATTTTTCTTGAAGAGATCATGAAGAGTGCCTCGACAGTCGAAAAGCCCGCCATTTTGACTTTGTGAACGTGAATTATAAAGTGCTCTCCCATGGATTACGTAAAAGCTGTCACGTCATTAGGCAAAGTTAAAACATTTAAGGCTGCAGCTGCAGAATGAGCATAGAATATGGACGGTAAACTATCAGAAGAAAGAAGAAGAAACGTTTTCCAGCCTCCACTGGGCAGACAAAGTGAGGTAGACTGGGACTTTTAGTTTTGACAATGTCTTTAAATATTACAATAATCGAACCACTWATTAATTACTTGGGGTTGTAGCTCAGTGGTAGAGCGTCCGCTTTGCATGCGGAAGGTCCGGGGTTCGAAACCCCGCAACTCCACATTTTTTTCTCACATTTTCTTTTTTCTTCTCTCACTTTTTCTTTTTTAATATCTGATTCTTACAAATATATCATCTTACAAAATAAAAGCAAAATAAACACAAATGGATCTATTAGTTTTAATGCCGTCAGCGACGCGGGAATAATTATCTGAGCGGTTGGACGGTTAAGGGTGATGCAAACCTATGAAACAAGGCTACAAAAAACGTACACTATCAAAAGCTTTCTATATCAATTTTTATTTGGTTCATTATTCACAGTAATTTGAAACAAATTAAACCGACAACATATATAAATATCAGTATCAATGATATTTGAATTCATATTTCACTGCACAAAATGTTTACCATCTTATGCAGCGAGAAAAAAACGATCTGAATTCTTTTCAAATAACTGTAAGTAACTTATACAATTTGATCGTTATTCAACCTTTCATGATATACTGTATACAATTGTAAGGTTATGCAATATCTATATTCACTATATACATAATATAAATAGTTGTTATATAAATAGATTAAATACATCATTACAAGTCACTCAGGAAAAGCTTTTCCTGCGTCATTTTCGTGTGTTAATAAATATTTTTCTTATGCGAAGAACGTCAATAATCAATTCCGCAAGTACTGATTGAAACAGAAGACAACCAAATATGTAAAACAGCCTTATGCCGACCACTACCAAATATGTAAAACAGCCTAGTATCCCGACCACATTCCATGCGGAACCCATGTCCGCCTCCATTTGGCTTGCCRTAAATAAGGCGGAGTATATTTTATCCCTGTGGTCGCATTGACAAAGAAASTTTGCCACAAAAGGTTTGTAATTTTCTCAGGATGTCTCCCATCAGCACAATACTCTTTGTTAAATTCTGAATCAATTTTTCTGGCTGTCAATCAAAAAGTGTCTACAACGCGATTGTGGCAAAGGTGTGACCAGGGTAAGGGCTGGTTACATGTCTAGATAAGTCACGGTTGATATATTATCAATGACTATCTATTCTTAGAACCAAAACGGTACCGGAAGGATAGTACACAGCCAAGACACAATTGTTTCCTTAACAGACTCTTATTTGGAGAACTACTATAATTTTTCAGACTGTTTAACTCATCAAAATCCGTGAAAAAAGACCCGTAAAAATGGGTTTGAAGAACCAAAGTGTACATTCTTAGTAGTTGGGATAACGAAAACAATTCGTCTCCTTCATGGCACTTCTATTCCTTTCGTTCATCGCATTAAAGACATGGCTGATAAAACGCGAAGTCGTCATTTTATATCTATGTGAAGTACTGGATAAAATAAATAATCTGTTGTTGAAAAATAAATAACAAGCCAATAAATAGCGTAATTCATTTTGCAAGCGAAAGACGCCGTCGTGAGTCACCCACAATGTCTTATGGGAATGATGTTTTGTTTGGAMGCTATCGATAAAAAACTTAATAAATTTGATAGCCTAGTTACGAACGTCAAGACTGGGGTAATTGTTCTACTAGAAAGCGTACTGCTTTTTGAGTAGCTCCCGTTGTTGAAGGCTGTTTTCTATGTCCAGATCTTTTGGATCCAATGAACCATTTGTTGTTGTAGACGGATTTAAAGACTGTATAGCCAAGATAAAAGTCTTCTACAAATAAACAACGTTTCAGCTGGCTGCCTTTTGACTGAAATAAAACAAATATGTTTATTGAGTAAAGGTGTACCATCACGAGATGCGTGGCCGATGGGTGTTAATACAAGCTTGACCGCAAMCTGTATTAGGACTTAATGCGGATTTTCGTTGCAGTGTTAAACCATTTAGCGRAATAAGTTTACTCTCGCGGAACACCCGCAAACATTATCGCCCTTTAAGAAAACTTTTCTGTTTCAGTATTTGGTGCTTGCAGTGTAATMTCGATAGACGGAATGCTGTACCAGTGAAATAAAGTTCAAATATCATAAAATTAAGGGACAGCGTGCCTGTTTTATAACGTCTGAACAAAAAGTTTGAATGACATGCCTTACTCCCGGCCGGTTTATAAATAGTAATACTAGGCATTTCTAAAATAACATTACTTGTTARTCAGGAATTCTTACCTCAAGAACAAGATTTCCATTCTTGGCATTGACGCAAATGTAAGAATTCTCTTGCTCAGATTTGATGCTTATATGTCCCTTGATATTGACAGACTCAAGAACCATAACAGCTGAAAGAAAAAAAAACACACACAACATGTGTGAATTACAACCTACACTACACTTTTTACAAGAAGAACAACGGCAAGTTATTCGCGTATTAGCAGCGCTAAGAAATGAGAAAAACATCAACATTGATACAGGTTCATCAAAGACAGGGTGTCATTCAKTTTCGTTGTATTTCTTCCTATGAAAGACTATTTTTGGATGCAAGAATTCGGCTAGTATCCAAAATATGCTAAGTTTCAATGCTTAAGGAAATCGTAATTATTGCAAACTAAGGTCTGGATGTGCGAATTCTGTTTCCCGCCAAAACTAACGGGGTCAGATAGTGGCTACGAGGGGGGGTTTTAGCTTTGCAAGAGAGCGAAACATTCTTTCGTGCCTAGAACTAGGGGTCCAAATGAATCAAATTAAAGTTGCTGATAAGAAAGTATGTGTTGATAACCGAGCGTCGCGCAGGACCACAAGATGGTCGAAAATTCGGGTGATACACCCCCTTGTCCTGATTGCTCATCACCCACTGAGGCATACAAAACATGAATTGACCGTTAGGTTTTCGTCCATGTTCTTAGCGAATCCCATTTTCGAAGAAGGTTTATCATTCCAATGAGTAAAACGACGTGTTTTGGTGAAACRCGAAGACGTCGTTCTCGAAACTTCAGTGTGGAATAGTCAATCTTTGAAATCCCTTCAGTTTGAATATCTGACGTTTTTTTCTAGCCACCGTGCATGGTGTGTCTCGTCTGTCTTAGGTGATCATATATGGCCATCCGCCACTACTGATAAACTCAACTAAGATAATGGACCATGCGTGGGGGGTTGTTGTTCAACATCGACTAAAGTACAACCAACATTTATGGCTCCTTGGTGGGCCCACTTAACAAGTAGAAAACACGTCACAAACAGACCATGGTTGYGGATTTGTCTCACTCGGCAATTAGAATACCTTTTGCAATCATGTTTTTAAGCTAAAGCGGGACCAGAAAAAGACACGCAATGGTCGATATCATCTTAGTTATTTGTATCAAGTTGCAGATAACCCTAAGTTAAATGTCTACAAATAGCGTTACGATAGCGTGCTATGCTCGAATGGGTTTGGTCACTTCAAAGGAAATACTGTTAATGAAAAGAGAATGACASAAAATATCTTCTCAAGACATCTCTTCTCAAACAGTTTTTGAATTATTCAAAGTTCAGATGGTCAATAGACTGCTTTCTCAGTAATAAAGGTTACACCCGTAATTATGGTTGACCTATAAGAAGAGGACCTCGTCCAGTTCAAGCCRCCTTTCGGCGCTTGCAGTATTGACAAATCGATGCCACTAGAATGTGTTCTAATATCCCGTTGAAGGTGATTTCCTGTCGAAAAAACCGTGTGAATCTCTTTGATCATTAATGAAAAACTAACGTTAAGTCGAGATCGCAATCCAGGACATTTCTCAAATAATTTCAACAAGATCCCCGACTCTTATCAGTCATGAAGCTGTTCGACAATATTTGTTTAAAATCAACAATTTAATGACACTAATGAGATAGTCACACCAAAAGTGATAACCGATTTATTTTCGATTGTCTCTTACAAAACTGCTAATTCACTTCTCGTCTGGCGTTTTCGAGATTTTCTCCAAACCTGACTCTTGTGAAAAGTCCYAAAAATAGTTGCATCGCTCGTAAAARTCGTGTAAGACAATCAASAACTATTATTAGTAGGTTGAGAACATCTATCAAGAAAATGAAGTGGGTCTTGTACTCTTCCGACTGGTGTGTGCATATTGAATGGTTCCTACTAAGAATAGCACGAAGACTGAGAGAGAAAAATCCCACTTGAGTTCATGACTATTGTTTTTGATAAACWACTACAGTTGCACGGAACCTAAAACGCACGACTTGTTTTACGTTAGCGCTAGAAATCCATAGCGATTAGCTTTGATAAAAACCGGCTTCAACGATGGAATTACAGATAAAAAATTGATCCAKTCTTACGAAACGTTGACTGTTGTCCAAAAYATTTGACAATAATCTCAAAAGAAATACATATAATTGACGTTTGACATTCATAAAAAAGAGTGAAAGTAACGTTTGCGCGGTTGTTTTTAGAACTGATTGAATCCGGATACAGTCGGGGAAGTCAACATTATCACTGTCTGCATGTTSGCATTGTGTGAGGTCTGATGGTATTATAGAAGAGGGACCATCACTTCGAGGGCACAAGGTGACGAGACCACTATTTCGGCCTTAATTGATCAACATTGAGCGGAAGGTTTTGTGAAACACAACCTTGCTACAGTAAGACGGCGTTTTGACTGTATTCCTCGTGTCTACACMGTGATGATACACATACATTGGCAGTTGATGTCACCATGATCTAACTTCATGCTCCCAGTCACGCATTCATGGTCCRTATTATCAACACTATGCTATGGTTTCTTAAAATCTGATTAAACTACTTACTACTAGAATCGGTTTTCCTTCCATTGAAGTCAATTTGAGATCCAGCTACTCGTAGATGCAAACGACTGTTTTGTGAATATATCCAAACTCTCCATGTTAAAGGAACGCCTTCAACTCGATGGTTACCCTAGAATTGATATTAAACGCAATCAATATTCACTATTCTACTATTTCTTCTGTACATCACTGAACAAGTCCAGAGGAAATAGACAGCGAAATTCTAAGTAACCGTAGAAAGGTCAYCAATGGAATTTCGTTTTACGAACAAGTCAGCAATTTAGCGGCGTATGAAGCTGTATGCACACGTAAGACGTAATAACGCATAGAATACTCCAAAATCTAAAGAATAATAGCATAAACTAGTAGTCAATTCATTAAACTTACTAATAAAAATCTGATGTCTTGATCCTTGATGGGCGCACCTGAGGAACTATATAAGATAATGTAAAAAAACAAATCAACTTATCGTAAACAGGAACGATTTATGCTTAAGCGAGCAGTTTCCGAGGACTGTGATGACATGGTTCCGTGKAGTCTCAGCAACTGTGAATAATGCAATTGGACTTAAATTGTACAATGTCTACAATGCTCTCTTACAATGCCAAGTAATTAGTTTTGCAAGGTATAAAAGATAAAATGAAGGTCGTACTTGCGTAAACTTTACCTGGTATAACTGAGGTCAATCTGTTACTCCAATGAGCAGTTATGAATGTTGGTTAAATCAAGTTAAAATTCTCGCTTACCTTAGAACGAAGTACAGAAATGTAATAATTGAATAAATCCACGTTCGTCCGCACATGTTTGTCCTGTTGATGTACATAACACTAGTATTTGTTGACTTGTGTATTTTATGTAAGTGAGAAGCCTGTASACGACCCAATGGTTTTTATAGCCTTGCCAGCCCACGGCAATGCCTTAGACATTTACCGCAGGATGTTGTCGATGAGCTGAACAAAGGCAACACACCTTTAAATTACGAGGGAATTTCCGCAACGATTGCGAAGTATATGTAAATGGCTACGCATCCACGGTCTGTGGGGGATTCACCGTTTCGTTACGTGCTCATACCGAACATTTCAAAAAACCGGTCAACTAAATTGGGATCAGGTGCACTTCGACGACCCCGGATATCCATTTCTGATGACTCGTATTTCAATAAGTTACGTTACATCATCTCAGTGACATTTGTAGTAATCGCCTAGTACAGTACTTCTGTTGATATACGTCTGGCCAGTCTACTACGTGAGCATGGGTAGAGGAGTTTATCGAAAGGAAAGCAAATGAATCATATATTTTTGCAAGGATGCTCCTTTGATGATGCTTATCAACAGTGTAATATACATCAGACAGAAATAAACCTCAACAAAAATTCCGTTCAAGCCATTTCATAAAATCATACGTAATTTGACTTTTAGTTTTCAAAGGAATTAGTAATGACGCAGATTGTACGGACTAATCGCTAAAACTGCGGCGGCGAAAAGAAATAACGGAAGTGTCATCCCACAAGCCTCGTGGACATCGTCAAACGACCAAAAATGGCGAAAAGCGTCTTCATGTTTCAATATTTTCATCGACGTCGGGGTCGGCCGGGGAGTATTTTTCGGTGAAAGGAACACTACTTTTAATCCATCAATGAGCGGGAAAATTTTCAATCACAGTTTTAATGTCCCATAAATAAGATAACTCGGCGGTAATCGATGTAATCAAATCCAATACAGACTCGTAACATGGTATATTTAGGATCTAGTGAGCCCTATTTTTTGCTGAAAATATTGATCCCTGAGCCCGTTTCTCACCAATGTTTGATCCCTGAGCCTGTGCAAAMATTTTGAGCCCATTTAATTTGTTTGCTCAAATTGCTTTGAATAGTGTTCAAAAGATCTTAGCTAAAACCGAAGGAGGTCTCCTTATACAGTATGACAAAAAATATACATAATAACACAAGTAGTGTCATGGCTCGAAGGAAACTAGGAGGAATTGAATTTCCCCACGAAATACGGAAAGACCCGAGTCAACTTTGTAATATCATTATTCGCGAATTTTTTTTCTAAAAATAGATGTCAAGGCTCAGAGTTGATTTATGTGGTCATGTGGAGCCTAAAATTGATTCCTTATTGCTGAAAGAATGAACGCTTTACTAAATGAGCTATAAAACAATTTTGAGGAAAGATAGCTGCAAGGACATCAAGTTGTTATGCAACTAAATAGGTGTATCAATAGGTGTATATGATTGATGATATGGAAACTGAACGTATCTGAAATAGGTATGAGAAGCTCATAGGCAAAATGATTAGTGAAACATGACGATATTATGTTATAGCCCTCCACTGTACGGAGAATAATTGCATAGTTATTAATATCTGCTAAATCATCCATCATCCATCATCATATTTTATAATTAATGTAAGAACAAATGATTAAAAATATAAATGAGTGAAATAGAATAAATTCTTTTTTGCCATAACCTTCCCTACTATTCTTTTATTCTTTCCCATTTTTAATCATCAAAAGCAAAATATTGGCTGAACTTACAAGACCACTTGAACTTTGAAAGACTAATTTTCCAGATACAGTTAAAACCCGCATATAAGAACCTAGGTGTCGGTAAGCAAAATACTACAAAATACTACACTACAAAACAAATCAAAACCTATTCTGTATAGCCTTCACTACAATTCCTACTAAATATTGTATACAAAACAACATGACAAAGTTCCTCTTTAAAAATGTTCACTGACGAGTTTTATGTAACTATGCTGTAACTACTATAATCAATGTGTACAGACTGTGTTATAAATATATTTTTGAGAATATTTTTTCTATATTTTGAAAGGATTATTTTTAATTTCCTTTTTTTCAAAATAAGAACCTGTCTTATAATTTTAGCCTAAAATGGTTCTTATGTGAAGGGTGCTTAAGAATGAAATTTTAGTCTAACAGGTTCTTACATGTTAAGTTCTCAGTTATACGCGATTTTTTGCTGTATTCCAGAACGACCACGCAACCTAAAGATGGTATCGAATTACCTGACTGCACGGAACATGTGCACGAACTTCATCGGTATTCGGAACAACCTACTTCGGAAACGATGCTTTTCCGAATATTCTGCAGTTAAAATTAGTGGTCATTAGTGCTTTTTAGATACTTCTTTTACAGAACAAGTAAAAATGATTTTAGCTCAAATTTAAATGCATCATATTATAGTATCCCGATTTTTTTCTCTTGAGCCGTGAGCCTAACACTTTGAGCCCAGAGCCCAACCAAGATTTCGGAATTGAGCACGGCCATTTGAGCAATGAGCCCTGAGCCCATATACCATGTTACGAGTCTGCTTTAAGCCGCAACATAGTAAAATAATGTTGGACGGTGTTGGGTGATTTTACAATTATCTAACCAATCTCAAGCTTTCAATTAAATATATTGTGGTATTTGTAATCTCTCTAGTTCATTCGATCTTAAAAAGGAACATAGCTGTTTTGATGGAATAATCGGCGTACGAGCTCGTTTTCTCCCGCAAACATATGGATTTCGGTCTTCTTTGCACGGGATGCCAATGGCACGTCAAAGTTTTATATTCAACACAATGCCTGGTGAAATGATACTTGACCTTGATGTCTTTCTTCTTTTATACCAACTTCAAGTCTTTCAATGAGAATCTTTATTTCCGCACGTCTGACACAAAGGTATTTGGATTACATAACAAACGCGACGTCAGCAAAATCATACACGTTTTCTTTATCAATAAGAAAAACATGGAGAAAAATAAACCTTTAAGTGGAAGCGATGTCGTTGTTTATATTTTCTTATCTCTGTCAATAGCTTTGTGCATGTATAAATATTTACTGTTTTGGTTGGTCTTTTTATTGTGATTTTTACGTAGTAACTTGCGTGCAATATGTGATGCCAACAATTGAGACGCATGTGCATTTTTTTAAGAACTAAATGCTGACTGCGCGATTCTCTATTGAAGATCTCGTTCGAGGGTAAGCAGATATCCTTTTCTCTAAAAAACGCAATAGGAACAAGCTTGTATAAGAAAAGCCACATTTAATTAAGAGCTCTGTTTTTTTTTCCAAACGAAGAAGAAGTACTGCTCAGTTGACTTGAAAATATACTTAAGGATATCAACGCGAATAAGCCAGAAGCTCCTCGAAAGACTCGACCTAGAGTCGTGTTTTTGCAAACGCTTGATTTCTCATTGGTGGGGATGGCCTTACTTGGCTAGTTCTCATTCCACTCATACCATTCATACCAACAAATAAAACTTTGCGAACAAAAGAGGGAGGGGGTTACGTCACTGTTGAGCCGAGGTCAAGTGAGCGAAGTTGTTTTATTAAATCCTTCCAAGTGTGATCAATTGCACGAGTTTGCAACTTGGTTTATTCATAAGTCGAGGCTACCATCAAAATATTTTAAGTATGGCAAGGATCATGACGACAAGACTTTGTCCAMATCTTGCGGCATTTGTTATACTGATGCTAGCATTTGGTTTGTCCTCAAAAATGTCCGATGAAGTTCGACGAGGAAAACTTGTTGGAACGATGACACGGTTTACGTATCTTTTTGCTTTTGGTACTTGGCTGGGAATCCAGTTCTGGGCCACTTTCATCGCAGGTAAGCTAATAACTATTCGTGAAACGCAACATTTATAACTTAAAAACTGTCAATACCATAGGAAAGAATGCCTGGAATTCAGAATAATTTGCTGTTTGGATGGATAGGGTGTTTCTGTCCATTGTATACCTCTTGGAATATTCAGCTTACCAAAGTCACTATGCTCTCTATTTCATTCATCTCTTATAAAAAAAAAGTCGTGGACCAAAAAACTGTCTTTGGTTGCTGTTTCAAATGACCTACAACCAGTTCGGAAAGACCTTTTAAAGATTCTAAACTGATGCATGGTTATCGATGACCTCGCGATGAAGTGATTCCGTCAATTGATTGCACAAGATTATGTACTACGGACGTCCTAGCCTGATCAGGTTCTTCATAAGAGGAACATTTAACTCTATGCTATAATCTGACCTCTCAGACGTAGTGATGCATTAGTCTCTTGAACGTCATTTCAAATTCCGGAAACTTCGGCCATTCCTTTTGAGAACATAGCTAGAACGAAAGACTTTTTATGGACGCATATAGGCTTGTTTTCCTTGCTATTGATATTAGATATTAGCACACTTTTAAATACAGGCCAAAGAAAAAATAAGCACGAAAATGGAAAAATCTTTACAAGATAACTGACTAGCAAGAATGAGAAAAAACGGGGAAGAAATTAAAAATCCATCGGTGCCATATGTTAATATCATCCAATATGTTGTGACTATGAAATGACATGCAACCCAAGAATACCTTTTCCAGATATCCTGTGTTGCTATCGTAATTAATATTTTCATTGTAGCATGAATCTTGATGTGAAAGGTTATTCACCTTGTGGTGAAAAGCACCGAAAAAGATATCTGTTATAAATACATCTAGTGATAGTCAAACCTTTCTAAGCGAATCCAAAGCAAATACTTTAAAATAAAAATGTTATGGATTTAGGGCGTTAGGGTGTTAGGGGGGGGGACTCCCTTATAAACGTTGGTAGCTATGCTCGACGGACGGATTGAAAAAATGATCCTAAAAGGTATGCACTAATTAATTCAGGTATCCATTTCAGACACTAAAAGGTACGGCCATTTTTGACGTCTTTAACAAGAGAAAAGCTCAATTTTAACCGGCACTGTAGAAAATCAATGTCGATAGATTGTTGACTGTTGTTGAGCTTAATAAAATCTATTTCTTATAACTTTTTCATTTCTTCCCCGTTCTTCGAAAATTGCCATAAAAAGGTACGGAGTCAGCACAGGACCCTAAAAGGTACGCGAGGGTTTTACTTTCGACCGACCCTAAAAGGNACGACCCAATGGTTTTTATAGCCTTGCCAGCCCACGGCAATGCCTTAGACATTTACCGCAGGATGTTGTCGATGAGCTGAACAAAGGCAACACACCTTTAAATTACGAGGGAATTTCCGCAACGATTGCGAAGTATATGTAAATGGCTACGCATCCACGGTCTGTGGGGGATTCACCGTTTCGTTACGTGCTCATACCGAACATTTCAAAAAACCGGTCAACTAAATTGGATCAGGTGCACTTCGACGACCCCGGATATCCATTTCTGATGACTCGTATTTCAATAAGTTACGTTACATCATCTCAGTGACATTTGTAGTAATCGCCTAGTACAGTACTTCTGTTGATATACGTCTGGCCAGTCTACTACGTGAGCATGGGTAGAGGAGTTTATCGAAAGGAAAGCAAATGAATCATATATTTTTGCAAGGATGCTCCTTCGATGATGCTTATCAACAGTGTAATATACATCAGACAGAAATAAACCTCAACAAAAATTCCGTTCAATCCATTTCATAAAATCATACGTAATTTGACTTTTAGTTTTAGTAATGACGCAGATTGTACGGACTAATCGCTAAAACTGCGGCGGCGAAAAAAAATAACGGAAGTGTCATCCCACAAGCCTCGTGCACATCGTCAAACAACAAACAATGGCGAAAAGCGTCTTCATGTTTCAATATTTTCATCGACGTCGGGGTCGGCAGGGGAGTATTTTTCGGTGAAAGGAACACTACTAATCAGTGAGCGGGAAAATTTTCAATCACAGTTTTAATGTCCCATAAATAAGATAACTCGGCGGTAATCGATGTAATCAAATCCAATAGATACCTATTTCAATCAAGGTTGATATGATGGAAATTAAGTGCTCCAACACCGATATTACTGATTCTATCTTTACTGATGTAAGCATACTGGTACTACTAGGGATTATAGTGGCTTCGACTATAAGTTGCTTTTTAGAAAAATCCCATAATTCTAAGCCGGCTCGTATCTACYGTTTTCCATATAAACGTTGTCGGGCCGTCAAAAACAAATAACACCATCAACTGTACTGTGACGTAAAAAGTCTGCACAGGCTCGCGCTGTCAMGAAGAAGCTTGGGAACGACTACYGCTTAATTCGCGCGCTATCACGATTGGTGACGTCACAATTGAAAAGTCGGACGACTGAAAAAAAGTCACTCGACACAACACAATGATTGTGCTTGCTTGATGACTAAGTTTTTATGGATCATTATTTTATATTTTGTCAYAAGTAACRGTGCCTCCGCCAAGTTCATAAAAGGCCAAGTTTATACATCAACCAAATGGGCTTTCATCACTCGTTTCGTGTTTTCTGATGAAATTGGTGGCCTGGATTATAGTGTTACATTTCCAGSTGACGGGYCTTGCGGTCCAAAGATAGCATTTTATTACAGTGATATGTGGTCCATTGTTTATCCTCGTGAGARTCTGGACTGCACGCTGAAAATGAACTACGCAGTTAAATCGTACGACGTGGAAAAGGCGTTGAACAATTCACATGTCTACTTGCACTGTGSAAATGAKAATAATTTGCGTTATTGTACTGGAAAGATAAACTTCCTTACGATGACTGACCAATGGTGGTTCTTGGTTTTGAGTCAGTGTCATACTAGCGATCCATTAKACGTTCAATATCAGTTTACTATCACGGATGGTAATTCATGGGAGAGACAAGTATCAGCCGAAGAAACCAACATATTTTTAGTTACTGCAGTTTGTTTAMTCATTTTCACGATAGCCTTAATAATCGCCTTAATCTTTCAATACCAGCTACTGAAGTCCAGGTTTTTACACACTCCTTATAAAATGTTCTTAGTCGGTCTTGCCTACGAAGAAGGAGCTTTGGTGTTTGAGACTGGCTATTATGTGACATACATTGAAACAGGCTCGCAGTTAATCGCCGTCAAGACTATGGGTTCTGTTCTCCAYGCAGCCAGTGAGGCAGTCTTTATGATCTTGTTGATATCATTGGCTAAGGGATTCACAGTWACACGTGGAAGGCTTCCAAAATTTACCAARATAAGGCTAGGTATATTCACTGCCTTATATGGCATTGGTTACGTCATATACTTCGTCATGGAGATAGCCATTGAAGACTTGGGTTTGTTGAGAAATAGTTTAGACGATGGTGCAGAAATTGGTGTGCTTGTGCTCAGAATTATAGCTTGGGCRTGGTTTTTGTACGCCACCATTCAAACAATTGATAAATAYCCCGAAAAACTAGTGTTTTATAGTTGGTTCTGTGTCCTGTTCTCGGTGTGGTTCTTGGCCAAACCCGGTATCACTYTATTTKCTCATTTAATGATCACACATTGGAAAGTAAATAAGGTCGTTAAGGGSGTGGATCTCGTCACATGCACCATGGGATATATGTTATTTCTTCATCTTACAAGACCAACAGTCGCTAATCGTCAGTTTCCATTCCATGTTCGTACAAATCAGATCRATGTTGTAACAACAAATGAAAATGATGACTTTCCACATACCGAGGAKTACTCGAAACTAAAGAAAAACACCAACGGTGAACTGGAAACGAGTCTTACAAACATAAGCAACGCTGATAACGAGAACTGTCAGAGCAATGGTATTGTTAGTATTTGGTTYCCTGGCAAACATTAAATAATATATTTGTTGAGTTTGTGCCACCTTTKYTGTCATTAATTCAATAARCACAGCTGGTTGTTTTCTTTGATTAACATCGAACTCCATTAGAATTTCTAGCCTCTTTGTTTTCAGTTTCTAGCATCTTTGAAAACCTTTGGGCAACAGGTGAAAAACTTTTGCAACAACAAAACCTTTTATTGTAAGAATTCCATATCTCATCAAAGTTGATTATTCATCTTGTTCCATTTGAACCTTATTCCATCTATTCTCCTTTAAACCAATACAAGAAAAAAACTCTTGACTCAATGCTATATCACATAAATCACCAGGAAAATAAATATAAAAACCCTGAAATGACCCGTTTTCATAACATTTAATCAACTTGCGTAAAACCTTATTAAAAACAGATACCAAAAGACATCCAATKCTTTAAACTACAATCAATAGAGGGGACTATTCCCCTCGATTAACTATTTCAAAGAGTGCTTTAATTGATGAAACGTTTGATTAGAGATCAGTAATTAGATAATCTCTATTCCGTTATCAACGCCGGCAACGCAAAATGATCTTGAATTTTTTGATAATCAAATACATCATGAATTACACCAGTAAAAGCTGATCGAACTCCGCGACTTTGCTTACAGTGGTCCTTACAGTGGTCTATACTTCAGTGATTCGAAAAGGGGTTAAAAAATTATTTGGTTGATAGTTACAGGTGATTATTTACTAGAAGAAGCTAAAGAAAAACTGAATGCRGCTACCAGTTCTAATCCACATGCAGAAAATGTCAAAACTTAGTTTRTCAATAGCTCTTGAACGATAATAGGGCAAAGAAAACATAAATACTTGTGCTCGATTGTTAAYAAACATGCAACACTAATTGTCTTTTATCATTTGTTTTCATTACGTGTTCCTAACAGAACAAGTGAATGGGAACTTCGAACAAAGTATTTGGTGATCTATCTGAAAAAACCACGTTAACGAATAGCTCACACCAGATCATTAAATATTGATACTGTAAACCAAAAATACAATAGAGTTTCGTTACCCTTGATGACAGTTCAATTACTGAAAGATTCATAGAGAAGATCRCACTAATTTACAAACTAACGGTCTTAGAGTACATAGTAGTGATTGTTTAAGGTCGTTCTTCCATGGATTGTCAAGTACCGACGCTTCAAACTTTATGCATAGAYTACATGAAAAACTCCAAAAACCGTCAAGAATACGCGTTGTTAGTGAACAGCGGAGAAGTCGCACACGMAATTTTGTATAAGTCTGAACTCAAAACCCAAGTTTGCAGGTCAATGGTGTTAATCGAAAGTAAGCGAACAATGAGAGATGGCTTRTATCAACGAGGKATTTTATGTGGCTATGATGTCCGTACAAGATATTTTTTGCTTGGTACGTTCGAGGGTTGTACATGTTATGATCCCTTTGAGATAAGYGAGTGGTCAGGTGCAATACACTTGAAAGGTAAATTATAATACTCTGATTCTTTCATTTATTCTTGTAAAGTTAGTAAAATCATTAATTTCTGCTCTACACAAGAACCTCACAAATATGTTTTTGATAATCTAAAAAGTCCTCATTTAGCTGTTAGAGTGATTTTTACAAAGGGCAATAAAGTGTACTGAAAAGAGAACGTGGAAAATAAACAGTAACAATGTGCAAAACTGATTTCACTTATTTCATGTTTAGTTTATCTTTCTTTATTCATCTATTATCTATTTATTCCAAGTTTATTTATCTTTGTAAGTTTTAAAAACTAACTTAAAGAAAATGTGGGGAGTTAGTTCGAAAAATCCTCCATGACTGTAAAGATCTATATATATTCATATTAAACCTTCATACTTTCAGATATTGTTCGGGTCGTGAGTGAGCATTTACTAAACTACACCAGTTGGAAAGGAAGCCAACGCAACCTTTGCGAACCAGAGGACATGCCAAACAAACAAACAATTTATCTTTACCAATCGATTGCAAAATGGATTTCAACAAACAACGATCTATTCGGTCCGCTTTACTTAACGAAAGAATTTCTTGAAATGGCGCATGGAAAGCGAGTAGAAGTACCAAGAGTGAATATTGGATACATCTAATCAGCCATCTTTATTATCAATTAATAACGGGATGTTATTGTGTTTTTATAACAGTTCAATACCTCGTTTTTCATAAAAACGATAATGTAATATAGAAAAAAATGTTACTCGTAACTATGTGAACCGTTCTTGCAAAAGAAAGTCAGTTTTCAAAGCCTTATAACTCCGAGATTAGACTGAAAATCTTTAACATTTAGAAAAACGATATCGTCATACTTTAAAAGGCGTGGCTGCTGCTGTTGTGGGCGGTACCTGTGTATYTTTTATGGGGCMCATATCAGGAGCTTCATTTAAGTGGCAGTCCAAGTGTCTTATGTAAAAATGCATATTCCTTTGCTGCCTAGGAAGATGAGAAATGAGTTTTGTTTAAAGAAAGAMCAAAGGAAATAAGGAGAGAAGGAAAGCGATATACCTGTTCAAATACACCGTCAATTCCACCGCTACCAAAATGTCCTCCCTCTTCCTCTATCACACAAAGAAGCCTCGATGCTGCTTCTTTTTCATCCACTTTGTTTTCGTCTCTCATTTTCGCAGTCCATTTTAGCGGCATCCAGCATGGAACCCTCTCRTCATGCATGGACCCAAATATCAACATCGACGGATATTCCTAATGTCATCAAGCCARGTTATGAAAKWGATTATTAAACAAAAAACTTAAAAAATACGCTTAGCGGCGTGTGGAGCTTACCTTTTTAGTAATATTATGATATGGGCAGTACGATTTGATGTTGTTGAAAGCATCTTCGTCTTTTCTGCAAAAGGATATTACTTACTGATTAGAATTCTCCCCTACCCTCCCTAAGACTCAAGGAGCGCCCCACCCTTCCCCACTTATCTGAGATCGTCCCAGCCCCTCCCTACTCCTCTGTGATGATCCCCACCTCTCTCTACTTACCTGGGATCACCCCATTCGTCATATTCTTGTGCAGTTAAAGGAAGCGACGMATCTAGCATTGACGTCAACACATCCAAATATGGAACCTTGGAAAAAAKAAACACAAGAGATCATAACKGACGCCAGTTTTCGTTCTCAATTTTGAATCTTTTACCTTTAAAACTGCAGCCTTTAATAGATGAGGTGATCTATTACAAACAGCACCCACCACCAGTCCACCCGCGCTCACTCCTTTGGCCGCAGTAAGCTCGGGAAGGGAATAGCCAATGTTCTGCAGACATTTGATGCAAGATTCGAAGTCCTGTTGAACGTAAAARTCAGCCGAGATTATAGTTTCACAATAACAGGTCAAGTGGACCACACAACAAGAAAAATTCATAAAAACTACTTACATGTAAAACTCGTTTAGATTTAAAACATTTTGATATTGCATAAAATAAACAAACAAAATCTTGAGAATTAAAGTCTGACCAMACACATGAAGAACAGAGGCAATTCAACACGGTAAAAATAAACACATGCACACAGCAATATCGTAACTATAGTAATATTGTACCTCAAAAGTTTTGTGTTTGTTGTGTTGAGTTGCCTGGTGATACCAGTGTCGTCCCAACTCTCCGCCTCCCCTAAACAAATGTAATGTAAACGTCTACACTGTGCCACAAATGCTGATGGGACCATATATAAAACAACTGACTAGATAGTTTGCCATTTATCATTCTGGTCAACCTTGTCATAAAACCATTAGTCTAGATGGAAATGCAAGTGTGTTCTACAAAGTTCTGAATTTATCCATTCAGCTTACCTTACATGACAAAATGCCACTACCCATCCCCTRGTGAGGAGACACAGTCGTTCAGGTGTAAATGACATATCAATGTTCATTCCATATGATCCTATAACAAAAGAGAGTCATTTAGATTCTGAAAATGACCATCTCTAAACAATGAACTCCCTTCAATACTAGCAGAAGCTTTCAAAGTTGATACTGATATAAGACATTTTCTCATCAAGATCTATCAGTAATGCAGTACCAATTGAAACCTGCTTTTTGATTGCTCCTTAAGTACAGCACCACTATTGTTAGGTTAGGTTTTGTTATATTGTTGGAAGACTTATCTATTGTTTGTCCATGTTTTCTCAACCTATCATGAGACCCGTTCCGATCGGTGCTACCTGGCTCAGATCTATGGAAGCACGGCATGAACACCCCTACATAATGAACACTAACTTTTCTCAGAAAAATATATATTATATATATATACTATATATTCATGCAATGTCCATCTCTTTTCACTAAGCAACTCCATTGAATATACATCTCCAGCAAGAAACCCTTACCATACACATTTACTAATARGGGATTCTGTCCATTCTGCTGAACATGTTTGTGATGAAAGACTGTAATTGGAATCATTGTCCCATCCTGGTCAAATGATAAGAAAAGAATAATGTTAAACAAACAGAAAACGTATATACTCAACAAATATTATCTTTTACCAAACTAGGAGCCTCAAGTCTTGTGCATTCATAATCTGAGCAAGAGTAGGAAGGTTTTTTGGACATAACTGGATGAAGCTCTTTCTAAGAAATGGAAGACAAACTATATTATAATTCACATACTAGTAGAATCACACAAATAATGTTCCTTCACACYYTTCATCATCCATTCACAAAGGGGAATAATTCTCTTCTCTCAACCTAYCAATCAYAACAGGGAAAGCCTTTTATTATCYGGCCAATTCTTCATCAATGGGAGGAATCCCTTCTTACAACCTAGCAAATATCCATTCATATTGGGTACCCATACCCAGCCTACAAACCATTCTCTCATAACAGGGTAACAACCTAACAACCTACCATTGAACCAGTTGACATATGGTACTCCACAACTTGTGGTGGAAAGATTGGTGAAGACATTGTAAAACGTGCAACATCAGAATCAAACATCTTGTGAAACAAAGCATTAACAGAAAACAARATTTAATGCAATGTAATAACAGGAATAGGAATAGTAAACCAAAGGATTCAGAAGGTATGTATCACTCTTTTAATTACTGGTATACTTAAATAATACTAAATAAAGTAATTCTACTGTGAATGGTATTCAGTGATACTTCAAAACTGGTTTCTGATGTTAWAACACTTCTTACACCAGAAATTAGTAAGTCAACAGAGAGAGAAAACTGATTTGTATTAATGGCTAAGATCTTTATGAGGCATTATAGCTTAGTTTTAGTTTCCTCTAAATCTAACAATAAAAGGACAATAGACTTGCATTCATCAAAGCATTATTSTTGACTAATACACCTGCTACATATCTAACCTGATTTGACCCTGGTATTAACGAGGAAATCTTGTGTGGTAGCTAGAAGGTAGAGAGGATATTATTGTAAGAAGCTAAATATGTACTTGTTATAAAGCCAGGGAAAGGTGAATCCCATGGAAGTGCCTTTGGTATTATATTTTTACCTGGACATTAAATACATCATCAGGGTCATCAAGAGAGACGATTGACAGGCGTGGAGTAGTCAGATGCCGCTCATATAGGATACAGTAATTCTTGAATACTTCCATGTCATCTAAAAATATCTAAAAAACATACTCTTGGTGATAAGTTACATCACAAAAGCAAATATTTAATCACATTGCTATCCATAAGACAGCAATAACTGAACAATGAATATATCATAAGAAATGGTCATTATAATCAATAAAGACTACTATTTACATCAGTATCTTGTGACTTCAAATCCTTCCAGTTTTTCCTGTCAGGGTTGGATTCAGGAACTCTYACAACCTAAAGAAATTTGAATTGATTGAATCATTGATTGATTTACTGATTGACTGTCATTGGAGCTTTACCTTGTAATCAGTATGTTTTGAGTTAGTCAGGATAAAGAACTCATTCCCTCTGTGTTCTACATAGTATTCCATGCCTTGCTCTCTTGGGTATAAAGGACTGTGTGATATTGAGCAGTTGTGAACATTTATCAAGCTAACCTGTAAACACAGTGAACATTAATTCAATGCTCCCTTATTATTCTTGTGTAATTCTATCCCTAGAATGCAGATTGCTCAAAATGATTGATTCATCCCTGTGTGAGGGGGACATTAGAAAAATTGTCAAAATCTACMAATTTTACATATACATTTATAAATCCACCAAAAATCCATTTTAAAAAGCATTGAAAATCTAAAAATCCTCACTAAAAATGTCCAATTTTTCAATCCAAGACCCCTYATGTCCCSTCCTTCACAACTGTTCTTTTTGTTGGGCTTCCTGTGTCTARCAAAAGATGTTGACTGCCTACTTGAGAAAATTTTTCCCCTTATCTGGTCAATCATTTCCTCAAACAGAAATCAATAATTAAAATTAAAATTGCCATACCTCTGATGCTGCCTTAGCATTTGAATTCACGGATATAAACTTTCTGTCTTTGGTTGCACTCACATCAAGGAAAAACCTTGAAATCAAAGTGTGCTTTGTTAATACTTCATCTTATAKAGATTTTGATTTTGATGATAAAATGAACAATAACACCTTAGTAACCTGATGTCAACTAAATAGAAAAGGAAGAAGATGTACYTTTCATCTTTTTCTTCATACATAAGGACATCGTTAGACATATCTTCTCCAAGGTTATGCTTCCATAGTTTATTACACCTTCCAAGTTCATCTCTTGTTGTGTAAAATATGGTTTTGTCATCGRGTCCCCATTCTAACAAAAAATKATGCAATAAAATGATGAGTATTGACATGAGACTCCCACAGCAAAMATGATTATAATTTKAACCTGTTTGGCATAAACYTCTTSAAAATAACTTGTCAAGACATGCTTCAATATTGTCCAAAGTGTTCAATTAATATTGAAAAACATTGTATCAACTGATTGATAAAAGCTACATAMTATCCTAAAAGAAGCTGGATTAAGGATATTCATAATACAGTTGACTCTCTTTGAATGACAACTCTTGTAATTGACCATCTCTTGTAAGCGACCACCTTTTAAATTTCCCGTTTTGTTCTCTCTCTCACAGGCTTTTGTAGTTGACTGCAACCATCTTTGGTTGAAATTGTGGAATGATCCTGAAGTGGTCGCTCATGAGAGAGTTGACTGTAATTGTAAGAAAGCTATTTACCACAGTTAACTGCGTGAGGTATTATGTCCATGATATCCAGTGGCCCATCCCAGACTTTTGTGATATGACAAAGGTAAGTCTCCATACCAGAACTGTCCATTGTAAAGGCTGCTAGCTGCAAACATAAAGATATAAAAATTATCATTCTTAACAAATATAACTTATTTGTTTTTAATCCCTGGAGTTAAAACTCTATTGGACTATTGGATGCAGATACTGCAAATCCTGTATGCAAAATCTTGCTTGGAAATTATGGGGAAATTGCAAGAAAAGCAGTCATAACCGTTGAATAGGCATAATCAAGCATTTACAGCCTTGTCTTGCTCATTCTCAAAATAAAGACTTTTTGTCTTATACTGCATGTGTTTTTCAAGACCAACAGGAGTGAGAGTCCAGCTATACTACAAACCTGAGTAAAGATGAATGTACTTTCTTTTTTTGAAATTGTACCAGCAGTATCAGCAATAAATACAGCAAGCTGCATTTAAACAAAACAACAGAAGCTATGGTACTTTGACATAAATKGATTCTTTAGTCCCATAATATTCTRATARAAGAGTCTACAACGATATTGATTGTAGCTAGGTAATGCATCTCAATATCGTTTGATTCACAAACCTTCCTTGATGGTGATAACTTGAAATTAGACACAGAGACATATGGGTACTTGGCAGCCAGTTCATTCTGATTGAGAATAATCTGTGGAATACCTTGAGATCCACCTACAATAAAACAAAATCTATAAATCACAACTTCAAATCTCTTATTAGATACTGCTTAAAGAATCATAACCACCCGTCGTACCTTGCGTGCTCGTATTATTGTTTACATACGTTTAAATGCGTCAAGCATACAATAAATTATAGATTGATAGTACCTGTGAGGTACTTAGTTAAAGGTATTTCTGTCCAAAAGGACGGAAGACGATTTGCGCTCACTTTAAGAAATCCTACAAATCCGCCATTTTCGTGTCCACCTAAAATGGCGCTTCGGTTCGCAAGGTACGGCGGGTGGTTATGATTCTTTAAAGAGGTAAATTGATGAATTTGTAAATCTTTGCATTATTTACTGACTCACTTTTGAAAAATGCTCTTCTACAAATTACAGGCAATCTGTCGTCACCTTCTGGAGGACTTTTGATGTAGTAAAAGTAGTTATCAATTCTCTATAAATAATATACAAATTAACTAGTCAATATTCACACTGAAGAGTTTATTTATTACACTGGTATTGTAAATAATTATAGTCCTGAGTGGTTTTTACTTAAAATAACAGACTCTTAATGAAACTTCTTGCATCATCATGCAACAAATTTGTCCATCATGATAATTATAGTGATATTGTAACCATCTTTTTCACCTCAGGAACTGATTCCAACTCATGGCACAGCGGTAACCAATGTTTCATCTCCCTTTTAAGAATCTTTTGAAAAAATGTTGTATCCTCCAAGCAATGATGAGCATACCTATCACAATGACATAACTTAAAATCAAAAAATACAAAGATACCGATAAATAMACAGTGATGATTATGATACTCTCACCTGTTTTCATCTTTTACATATTCCTGGACATCCTAGTATAACATTTACTATATTAAGCTCAGATTGGTTAAGAATTTTGTGTTATTTAAAGTTACAGATGTAACTTAAGTTAWGCTTACTGATGTTGAATTGAAATTCTATTAAGGAAACATGTAAGCTTATACCTTTGCATTTCCATCTTTAAGCCAAGCAAAATTATCCTTGAACACACATCCATGCACTTCTTGATTGAAYTGTACTTTTTTTGGGATAGGAACGTCAACTTTTGAACCAAACATCCAGTTCAAAACTGGTGCGTGGCGATTTGAAGAAGAGCTCAGGAGGCGACAGGAAAACAAGTGGTGTTGAGAAACGTGGAGGCGCGAAATTTGAAAATTCCATCTCACTACACTTGATCGGAACATGTGCAACAAACTATGATGTCAACCGTTCAGCTCTAGTAAGTTATAATTAAGAATTTATACTAAAAAGTTGGTCTAACTTCATTGTCGCTATGTCCACTTCCTCGGCAAAGGAACCCGAATATGCACAGGGAACCCATCCAAATCAAATGCTATAGCCTTGKAAGCACTGCTCTTTTTGCCTACTTTGCAATTTATTTAACAACASCAGTGTCAAGACCACGTATTTCGCTACATTTACAACCTATCCGTTTCGAAACGGGAAGCCAGATTCTTTCAATAAATATCAGAGTATCAACAGGATATCCCACAATTCATAGTTAGCTACTTATTCAACATGGCGGACGAAAGGAGTCGTCTTGTGCAGCAATCATCAAGCATCAGTCATGTGTTGAAGTTATGTGGTCATTATTCCTAGTTATTCTATAGATTGAAGGCCTGAGCTATTCTCATGTTCAGAAACTGTTTTCGCTCTGTTTGCCGTGCATTCAGCACAGGTATTCTTCATAGAAGTCGGAAGTCAGTAGGCTTACCTCATCCATCAAAGTTTAATACTACTCGTGTACCCTTTTTGGCATTTTGTACATCAAAATGGGACCGATACCCGAAAATCTATTCAGATATTCAAATGCAGAATCACAGATGCAAAGGAGGTGAATTTGAAGGGCTTCAAATTCTTCTTAACCGTCAAATACGTAATAAGACTACTATCAAAGAACTCATGCAATTGTATCAGTCAAGCAATTTCATCGAGAAAAACTGCATCACTGCCCTGTATCATTTGGCAAAGCTTGTGACCCAGAATTCATGGGAGGAGTATTTGATAAGGAGTAACCATGAGATAAGGAAAGCAGTAGAGAAATTTTTAGAGGACACTATTGGAAGCATAGCACAAGCTGATAGTCGTGGCCTTTCTAATGCTGTGCATGCTTTATCTTTACTTCTTGTCAAAAACTTAAACCTTTCAAATCTACACTTCTACATTAATGCGTGTGTGAGAGAGGCCACAAAGAGAGGATTTGGCCTCCTTAATTCAAAAGAAATTGCCATGCTTATGTCTGGACTTGGAAGAGCAAAGTTTGTAAACTCAAAGGAATTTTGTTCTGAAATGAACTCCGAGATTGTCAAGCGTGGAATGGGAAACTTTTCTAATAGCGAGTTGGCTATCATTGTCTGGTCTTTTGCGAATCTAGAGCAAACATCCAAAGAACTTTTTCAACTTGCTGAGCAGGAGATTGTTGCAAGAGGCCTGTCAAGCTTTACCAATGATCAGTTTGTTCAGCTCTTATCAGCATTTAGTAAAATATCTAACAAACATAGTGACTTGATTTTGTCCTTTGCAAAAGAGTTGACTAAAAAGGATCTCTCTTCCTTCAAACCTCATGAGCTTTATATAATACTGAGAGAATCTTCAAGTCTTCACATTTCTTGTGATGATCTTTTGCTTTCTTTTGAAGAGTCCTTGAAAGCAGATCCAGAGAAATACAATATCAGACAGATTGCTTTATTTTTAAAGTATGTTTCCAAGTTAGGGCTTCAAGGTCAGGGGATCTTCAGGTGCATGTCAAAAGAAATCTTGATAAGAAGTACCTCCAGCATCGAAAACCGTGATCTTGCTACAATCCTGCTCTCATATGCTGAAATGGAAATGGCTGATAATGAATTGTTCTTTGCTCTAAAAGATGAGATTATGTGTAGAAGTAAATCAAAGTTTGAACCTGATCATTTTGCATTGTTTGCCTGGTCATTTGCTAAAGTAGGCATCAAAGCATCTGATTTATTTCAGTTCATTGGAGATGTACTGAGTGAAGTTGATCTGTCATACATGACATCCAGAAGAATTGCCAAAACTGTCTGGGCTTTTGGAAAACTAGATGAAGCTCATGAAAAGATGTTTGGAGAAATTGAGAGAGAGATCCTTTCAAGACCGTTTAGTAGCTACGATTTTCCTACTCTAGCTCAATTAGTATGGTCTTATGCAAAACTCAATATTCAATCACCAGAACTTTTCAACCTCGTTGCTGAACAACTTCAATCTTTTGACCTTACTGGGAACAGTATTGCAGAACTAGTTATGGTTTTGTGGTCATACATGAAAGCAGTGCAATATAATCCTGTTCTCTTTGGTAAATTTGCAGCAGAGATCATCAGTCGTGATGCAAAAAGTTACACCAATAAAAACATTGTTCAAATTTTGTGGTTTTATGAGAAGTCAAATTGTGTTGAACCAAAATTATTTGAGTTCTTTGCTATGGAGATTATGTCACGTRATCTCAGCAGCTTTGATACATTGTTACTGACAACCCTACTGCGTTCTTACACTGTCATTGCTGATGCACCAAGTCAGTTGATATGTTACATTGAAGGTGAACTACTTAAAAGAGACTTACTGAAGTTGCATAGCAACATACTGAAAAACATCACTGCATCATTATCAACAAATCATATCCATGAAGGAGATCTTATTGATAAAATAAATGAAATATTAAATGAAAGACAAATGACTAATGACAAATGACTAAGCAAGCTACCAGTGGACAAGGAGACATCGGAGCAAGAGTTTCAGTGTTGCTAAAAGTTAGCAAGTTCCACCTTTGAGCCTTGGGATAGAATATTACTGTATTTTATCAGATACTATGCTACTTCCCTATCCTGCTTTACTGCATATACCAATAAATATTAATGTTATCTCATTGAATTGGYTTTCACTTTTATGCATGGGGGTTAGGTTATCTAATATTTCCTTGAAATTACGAATCCAAGGGCTATTTAAGGAACAATGTGGTTCTATATCACAGAAAAATACCCAATATTTTAACTGCTCTATTGTTTTTGTCAATTCACAATAAAATTTTCTGAAGTGGTGAGCTCTATAGTAGCCCTCTGCAGCAGACACTATCAAGTAATGTGACTTTCAACCAATGGGTATGATGGAAAATTTGTTGTTTTAAAAATACTCCATTTTTGAATTCAAAGCATGAAACCAGAAATATAACTGTTAGAGTGATCAAACTTAAAGTGTGCAACTGTACAAAATCTAAGTAGACCCATTATATGAGACATTCAAAGAAGCTTCATTAGGATGACAAAAAAAGATTTCTGCTAGAGTACAAACACCAAAAGCCCACAACAGTTTTAGTCTTTGTACTCTATCTTTTCCTTTCGTTCAAGTAGCAGTATTTTGCAGTCTACCAATAGTGTTTTACAGTTATACCGTTTGAAGTGAAATAAAAAAAACATAAAATAGAACAACAGAGTAACATTAAACAAGAATTTATTATTTACTCTAATTTTGAGTACAGATACAACACCACTGGCTTTTTATTCTATATGTTCATACTAGAGAAAAATGTGTAATTATAACCATGTAAGGTGGTTTGTGCAGAGTTCAAACCCCCACAATAGACACTTCTTGTCAGTTCATGGGTTTGGTGCATCACTGATGGATGGTTTCATTGAGACAGATTAGTTAAAATATACACATTTACATTATCATTAAGACTTTACAGTAAAATAGTGAATACAATGAATCAAAAAATGACAGCCAACCTTTGCATGGATGAGTAGTTATTAGATTAACTTAAAACAATGTTTGTTGAAATTAATATGCCATTCTTCCAGTTGTTACATTGAGAAAAGCTTATTTCAGAAATCTTAGTAAAAATTATAATTTCTGACACTATTACTTTGACCTAAAAAATATTGTAACTGGCCCTCCTTGGCCAATACATGCTATTTGTGTTCATCCAATAGATTTTAATCAGAGTATGGATTTTTAAAAACACACATGGCATAGATGATGCATTACACAATAATTAGCTCTTTGGAATCACGTTTAAAAATATCACATTTGCTTCTTGATTTGATCTTTTTTGTATAAGTTAACAACTAGTTGTACTATAATGTAGAGTCTAATTTAGTGAAAAAATCATTTGGCAATAAATACTTCACTAACCCTAACCAATATTATTTTATGTTATCTAACTATAATATTTGATAACTGTAATAAACCCAATAATTGATGGAAACATCTTACTGGATAATTTTAAGCCTTATTTACACCAAATAAGTTGTCTGTACAGTTACAAAGGTGTAAAATAATATACACCTAGCATGTGTACAATACACCTATTGTATCTAGTACCTTGAACTCAATAACCAAAGGGTACTACATGCTTAGTACATGCTGTGTCAGAACTAATCAGTTTTCTTTTCATGTCTATTCTTATACTTGAAATTTAATGGTACTTTTTAAAAAAACTGAAATAATAAACATGTAACTAAGAACTCAATAATAACTTAATGGTCTAGCTAATGAATCAACAACCTAAACATTTACACACTCCAGAAATAACTTAAAATCAATACTGGATTTCATTAACTGAAGATGAAGATTTTTTATGCCAAACTTGCCATGACACTGCAATAATTACATAAATCATCTACACATCCATATACTTAAACCCCTTATCAAGCTTGACAACAATAGCCTGGCCTGCATTTAAGTGCAGTTGATTAACATCCTTAATTTTTTKATTTAACTTAAACTCAGAATCCAAAACTACCTCACCCCGGCCAGATAAACCATTAATATTGTCCTTGTCATCTTTCTTGTTGAAGTTGATGACTACTAGATACTTGCTTTGTCTTACATATGCCAGGATGTTAGAATCAACATGAACAACACGGAAGTCAGTGTTGTTAAAACCATTTTCATTCCTAAGTTTTGCAGCAGCCTTGTACAAACTATAGTGTGATTTCTCGTCATCTTTCTGATTTTTTATTTCATTCATGTAATTTTGATTACTAGCCAATCCAAGTTCTTGACCAAAGGCTGTAGATGGAATACCTGGAAGAGTTAGTAGCAGGACATTCATAGCATCAACAAGGTCAGTCAGACGGTCAGCCACAGGGTTCTTGGATGTGCTGACAACAAAGTTGGGTATCTGCTTATCAGACAGGGACTTCAGATATTCACTGACAGACCTGTTGACAATAAAAGGAATATCACTGCCTTTCTTGAGATCCAGAAGTCCTGAGTAGGTTGGAATATCACTTTGCTCTGCAAACTGCTTAGCCTGGTTGCTATTTCCCTTCAGGTCAAGTATGAGAAGCTTGTGAGAACTTGCTTTGTTCAAGGTATCACGGAACTTCTTGACCAGTTCAACATTTTCAGGAAGATCTTAAAGTAATCAAATAGGTTGATAAGGCATAAAAACAATATTTTTTTTCATGTCTATACATAATTTTAAAAAATCAATGATTTGCAAATGACTAACAACAGTACCGCACATAATGTAAGTAATTCTAGTACATATAATGTAATTCTACCATTATTGATCAAGAAGAGAATACTTTTACATGTGCAAACATTTCACGATTTTTGTGCGGTGTTAAGACTAAGTTATCAATAAATTTCAAAAGAAATGCAATTATTGTGATTTTAATTGAAGTTATTTTGAAAAAGAAAAACAAAGCACTAAATGTTCTAAACAAAGAGAAACGCAAAAAATTGTGTCACATGCAACTTGTTCACATAACATGACTGCCACGTATCATTATCATTCTTAGTTTACATTTACCACCCCTCCCCTCCGTACAAAACTGTGAACGCACCAAAATCACATTTCATTTCGACATTGTTTTTGAACGAAAATTCGATTAAAAAAAATACAATTAAGCTTTAGATATCCACATCGAGTATAAAATCAGCTTTCTTTGGAAAAGATCATTGAAAAGATAAGCAGCATGTGAACTCCACGTGGTTTTACTTACCAAATGTTTGGCCGTGTTCAGTCATGTCGTACGTTAGACTACTCCTGTTGTAGTTGGATTTTTGTTTCTCGTCGGAAAATGTACTATTTTCAAGCAGGTATTGAACATCAACGGCTCTGAAACCATCTACTCCCTTGTCCATCCAGAATTTTAAAATCTTGTTGAGCTCTTCGACCACTAAGTCGTTACGCAGGTTCAAGTCAGGTTTGCCTTCCTCGAATTGGTGGAGGTAAAACTCGTTAGTAGGAGGCTCTTTATTCCAAGCACTTCCCCCTGTAACACTTGGCCAGTTATTACTTTCTTTTCGCCATACATACCACCCYCTTTTCTCTGAATCTGTCTTCTTGGCACTGTCTACAAACCATTTGTGTTTCTTCGATGTGTGGTTAGGGATGAAGTCAAGGACGATCTTCATGTTTTTATCATGAGCTTTTTTAACTAGTTCCTCAAAGTCACTCATAGTCCCAAACGATTTATCGATGGTAGTATGATCTTCGATATCATTATTCTTATTTGTTGAAGGGTAAATCGAATTCAGGCGAAGAATCTTCACACCCAAGCCGTTCAAGTATTCGAGACTCTCTGCAGTGTCGTTCAGCGATTTAACATCAATTTGGTAAACTATCTGATCTTTAAACCATTCTCTATCGATGGGAACTTTAGGGGGAGGACATTTTGGTGAAACAATAATGATAACAACAGCGGCAACAACCATGGCGATGATGAGAATTCCAAATAGAACAACCAAAATAACTCTTGTCTTGCTGTATTTTGCCACTTCTTCATCACTAGGTTTCTCTGAAGCACGACTCGGTGGTTCTACCTTGACTTTAACTTCATCATTAGCCGTAAGGCTGTTAAATTCAACAGCATTCGACATCTTCTTGCGATCAAAACACAGAAATACTCGCCAACAAAGACCAACACGAAAGCAAAATGGCGCGAACCCAATACCTCTTTTTAATGATGCATTGATGCGTACGAACCAATCACATTCGATGTAATATCAGATTTGACCTTTGAACATCAATCTATCCTGTTATATGATTGGCCAAGGCTTTTAATTTTAACCTGTTTGAGATTACTACAACAGGTTTTGTTAGTAATACAACACGCTGATTGCATCATATCTTTCTTCGTGTTATTGAGCAGGAAAGACCTATTCATATTATACATTAAAAACTCAGGGAAATTATCCAGATGGCAAAAAGGTATAAATTTCCCACGAAACGCAGCAAAAAGTAGCCATGCAATAAATATGACATTTTATAACGTGGAAACTGCCCAAGCGATAATTTCATTCAAATGAAATGCGCACTCATATGAAAGAGGGTGTTAATACATGCCATGCATCAATTAGAAGCCGCGATAAAATATTTGATCACTTGCCTTATAATCGGTATTACGTGCTGAAACAAACATAGAAAAAAACTGAGCTGTAAAAATTTGACGAAACTGGTGTCTTCCACAATGCAATCCCCTTCTCCCCCACCCCCTCCAAAAAACAAAAACAAAACGAAAACGATCCTTGTAAGGGTTCGAACAATTCTATAATTGCCCTATAATTTATTTTCATTTGTTCCCTATTATATCTTTTTCAATTATTTAGACTTTGTAGTATGTACAAAAATTTTCTTATAATTTAGTTGATGTAGTCGCCAGACTGTTCTTTAGTACTCATCGTCGTATTCTGCAAACTCTTCTTCTGCCCCTGGAAATAAATTCATTCGTAAATTAGTCACAAGATCAATAACAACAGTAGCAAAGACACTAAAGACCCGGGGAAGGGGGACTCCCTAATAAAAAAGGTCGGAGTCCTCGTCGGAAATTCTGAAAATGACCCCTAAAAGGGACCTGTACTGCGAGATGATGGGCGTGGCAGTGCTTAAATATCACCCCTAAGAGGAATCAATAACAGGTCATTTTGCTTTGGTTTCCCGATTTTATTTGTGTTTTTGCACAAGCATCAAACGCCGTCGGCTCGTATTGAGATCAATCATCTAATTAGCAGTTAGCTGGTCTTATAATGACGGCTTAGGGTCGTCGTATACCCTAAAAGGGACCACAAAACTCAGTTGGTGGGAATTCTCGTCATTATTACCCTAAGCGGGACCAAAAAACTGATTTCAAACCCTAAAAGGRACGACGAGGACCCCCGCCCCCCAACCCCCGGGACTAAAGAAAATTTTTTTCTTCACGCACTTAATAAAGTGCTTGCACCGTATTAATTTTGATATTCTGGTTCATACAATTTGCATGTAATTCCTAGGARGAGCCGACGGGTTCCCGTTCACATTTTGATGGAACAATAATGAGCCATAATAATAAATAAGTCACTACTGGTTGCCAGCGGCTAGAAATTCAGGAAAACAGAACTCTCCAGGCAATGAATACTTTCTAAGAATTTCGGCTCCTTCTGTTCCTTTCCTTCACACACTGACGTAAATAGTTTAATTCAAATCCCCCCTAAGTTACCCTGTTGTATATAGTTTCATTCTCTTCTCCCTAACGTACCGCTATTGTACATAGTTCCCAAAAGCTGCGCTGCGCTGACATGGTGTTCATCTTCCTCGTCGTCAAAGTAATCGTCTTCTTCTTGTTCGACGTCGTTCGCTAAAGTATTTTGGTCAGTCCCTGTATAATCTACTGGACCACTCTCAACCACAACTTCCCTTTCGTCACGAGCAGTAGAGTCGTCCTTCTCTTGCACAGAAGTAACCTTCAACGATATATATTGGTATCAGACTGATGTTTTTGTACTACCCACTGAGCTCCAGCGAAAAAAGCTCTCAGCTTCGTCTCGTTGTTCATCTTCGTGAGATATTTCGAAATCTCTCGACTTTCACTCACATGCCGTAGTGCAAAGTGAAGCCTACCAGATCTAGTGATAGAACGATTTCGTTACCTTTTGTTTCTTGGACTTTTCCAATGATGAAACTAGCGGTTTCTGCGCTTCCCTACAAACATAAAATCAGATCGTTGCGTCTCATAATATAGAAAGCCAAACAATAAAACCACACTAAAAGAGTGGAAACAATACTAACCAAATAGTGCTAAACGCAATGTAATGTAGATTAGACAATAAAAAGCAAAGGAATTCTCGTAATTTGGTAGAATTTAGTGCAATTTTATTAGTGATAATTTCTAATTTTGGCGTTTTTGGCGTTTGCACCCCGGGGAGCGATATCAGGGGGGCAGGTGAAGTCCTGCTTGAATATATATAGACATACATAATCAGCTCCCCTCCCTTTCCTTTAAAAGTTCTGGATCCGTCCCTGCGCCTATTGTCTGACCCACCTATTTAGCGCTGTTTAGTATTGTTTAGTATTGATTTTCTTAGAGTTTGTAATCTAGTTATAAGAAAATATTAAAATACCTTTTTATCGGTCCCTTCCTAACAGGCACTTCGGGTACGAGAAACTGATGACTTCCTGTGCTAAGTCTTCGTCTTGGGGTACTCGGTGGTGGATCAAGTTGTATCGTAGAAGTAGGATCTGGTTGATTGGGTTTGACGGACTGACTTGTCTCCAGGTCTCTTAGTACCTCGTAATTTATCTTACTTGATATTTTCTTTTCTACTAACATTTTCTCAATGGCCTCTCCTGCGGTTGCTGCTGGAGGAGCCTTTTTGGCCTTGGGTTTTCTTTTCTAAAGATTGTAGCAAGGAGTTTATAAAATATTCAAAGTATGTACAAAGGGATGGTAGAAAAATTCACCTTTTTTGGTTCTGGTTTGTTTATTCCCTGTTCTCTTTCTTTTGCTTCTCTTTCTTCTTTCTCTGAGTAAAATGAATACCAAAACTGTTTGCATGAATTTTCCAAAGACAGGTCAAAATAATATTGTTATTTAAAAGATGATGAAAAATAACTGAATAAATGAAGAAGTTGCAACCCAAAACTCCAGAAGTACATACAGTCACACCAATGACTGTCTTCAATTTACCTTTCATTTTTTCTAGATATTCCTTGTTTTCTTCCATCCATATCTTTGTCTTTATCTCAATTTCGTCATTAGTTAGTAAACACTGTAAAATGTAATTTGTGGACATTTGTAGTTTTTATGTAAGGAAATAAGAAGACATTACAATCAAAGAATAATTATTGCATTTCTCTCATGACTTACTGAATCAAGTTCTTTGTCATCCAGACCCGTAAGATCAAGTTCACCATCATCGGTTTCATCTGTTAAAGTACATAAAATTAATTTTTATTTCATGGTTTACTCTACAGAGAATACTTGACTCAAAGAAAGTTTTTGATTTGAGTTCCTTAACTAATCTTTCTTGAGTTATTCACAACATACCTTCTTTGCTCTCATTATCTAAGCATCCTTCTGTAGTATTTTTCTCTAAATTTCCATAATCTGCATTCCTTCTTCTTTTCCACATACTTTCAATATTGGCAGTATAAATGTCAGTATTTTGCGACTGTCTAAATTCACTGGTATCACTTTGTTTGTTTTGGATAACAGCACTTTCTTGGATGCTGTTAGATATTTCTTTGGTAATTCCTAGAATGTTATCAATCTCATTTTGAAACTTTTYCACCTCACTGGTGACCTCTGGATTATTAAGTTCTTCTGATTGCTGTTTTGCCTTCTTTCTTGCATGTGTAAAACAAGGTGGATCTTGCTCTTCTTCCAAGTCTATTTTCTGAAATTCATCAATGGTAAGTTGGCTTGAAGGAGTGTCTTTAAATTCACCAAGTCGTTTTCTGATTGTCGTGTTACTTATACGCACTACTTTRACAACTTCTTTGACTGATCTACTGAAGTTATGAAATCGAGCTGCGACAAGGAGAGCTRAATGAGAGAACAAGTACAGTTATTATAACTAAAGTTTACAACATGAGTGGCTGCAAGAAATGATAAGTGGCTGCAAGAAATACAGCAAGAAAAATGATGAAAAACAACAAATAAGTTACCACTGTTGAATTCAGTTGCTATAAATATGCATGCACTATTTTACAATAGAGCATATTTTGGATAATTATCTATCCAGTATGAAAGCATAGCCATCAGTTGCTTAAGCTATCTTATCTTTGTTTACTTCAAAACCTCTATCATGATTGCAATACAGATGTTTGCCTATCCAAATAGACAGCTTTMTGTTGCACATTGCAGATGAATGAAGAGTATTACACAATACAATCATTTCATGATCTTTTTCATTTCCAGGAACATTACCTGCTCCACAAAGACCAGAAGGGCGACGGCCATGGTGAATCCAATCTCTTTTCATCCTGGCAACGAGTCTTAGTGCTGTCATAGCAACATCATGCTCTTTTTCTCCAAACTCAAGCTTATGTGCAAATCGATGGATATAAAGACAGGGATCTAAACATATGGTGTAAAATGCTAGAATTTATTTTGAGAGAGATGAAAGAAAGTWGATCATTTTTTGAGGCCGTAAAAAACTCAAGAAACATTAATTCATGAAGGCTTAGTTCCTTTTACTATACCAACAATTAATCTCAAAACTGCAGAGCTCAAATATTACTAACAATGCATGACACCTTATCTTYATAGCAAATTCAATGGTTTCTTTTAAAAAAAACTCACCTATTGCAGGAAGGTTGATGTAGAGTTCTTGTGCAAGTTTTAAGTAAGCTCTTCCAAGAGTAAATACATCAATCTATGGACAAATAACTCATTTGTGAACTCATCCTTTGATATATATATAAATTCCATTTTTCCGTGCATCTGTACTCAACTGTTGTTCTTATCTAATGGTAGTATCATCTGTTCCTGTGTACTTTTATAACACATGGTTTTTAACCCATTCTTGTACCCAGATCCTTCTCACTTTCCCAACAGAAAATCGAAGTTGGAAACAAGTGACTCTTTGATTTGACTGATTCAAAAATTCCCACGCACCATCAGTATGTAAATTTCATGCGGCCCAGATTCTAGGTCTTCCGGTATTGTTTTCTGCCAGAGCCTTTGATTTTCCATTCTGCCAGAGCCTTTGATTTTCCATTCTGCCAGAGCCTTTGATTTTCCATTGGGAACTGAGAACATGTGAGAAGGACGAGAATGGTACAAGAATGTCCTCCACCAATCCAAGAGTGCTTAATATACCAAATATGATCTAATATTTGCTATATCAATGATACAATGCTAACAAACCTGCAGTATGTCACTAAAGTCTAATAACATATCTGAAGTAAGTTAAGCAACAAACATAATATAAGGTCTGCCAGCTGTTTGAGTCCCTATTGTTCAGATAATGAAATTCTATCAATTTGAATTCAAGGATACGAGGTGTTTTCTCTGTTCTACAAACCAAGTACAAGCATGCAGCAACAACATGATTAGTTCTTCTTCCTCTTGTTAGTCTTTTATTCACAGCAAGTTTGTAAAAATTGAATGCTGTGTCAATACAATGCTGATTCATTTGAAGCTGGTGACCTAAATTATTGATCCTTTTTCTACCTAAAACGTCAATGGACAATGAAAAAACTATTATTTATGCATTCACTTATTAATCCTAAGTTCTTGGCATGCAAGTTATGTCATCGCTGCCATGTTGAATGAAGATCACAAAGCATTTTCTTTTGTTCATGGTGGAGATAGCTTTGTTCTTTATTTCTCAGGGGATTCTTGCGGTTCAAGTGGTTGTACACCAAGAATAGGTAACTGTCCAATTATTCTCTTCATTGGACAGCTAAGAATAATATGTGGATATATAATAAATAGAGAACTCTATACAGAGGACTCTATACAGTCCAATTAAGAAATAATTTGACTCAAAAAATTCCTCTAATTGCCAATCTGGACTCGGCCTACAGCCTCATCCAATTTTGGCAGTCCTCGGAATTTTCCTCATCCAACTCATCCAACTATATGGAGTCCTATTACGTATAATTATCAAAGAATCTTGATATGGGCAGCCCCTGACATTTCTGCATAAGCACTTTTGATAAATATGAGGGTTGGAGGTTAAGGTTCCATTATCAAATAATATATGCACGCAAAGCACTGGTGCTTCAATGGAAATGCCATGGATCCATCACTGTTAATACCATTTTCAAGTGTAACAGCTCTTGATTCCTGACCAAGGCCATGTCTAAAACCTGTGCCTAGTCCAATTCCAGTCTTGTTTCCTAAAATAAAAGTGATTTCAACATAAACATTGTTTTACTATCTTTATCAAATAACAGAACGTATTACGATAGAACAATCCTTGTATTTAAGATATAGTCATTTGCAATCTCAGTTGTACAGCTCCATGGCCTACTGGCTACAKGCGCTTCACTTGATGCTAGTGTCCTCAGATCGGGTCACACTTTGACACTACAGTATTTTCATTTTTTCATCATTTTAGCTGATACAAGTGAAAAGATTTTTTTATTTTTCCTAATAGTTCATTTGTACATTTAACTAAAAACCTTGTTATAACCCAAATAAACGATAAAAACTACAAATATAGTAGCATTGTGAACCGGCAGAAAGCCACGAGGGTTTAGACACTGCTTTAAACATAAAAGCAACRCTGTTGTAATTAGCTATTCTTTTACCAACGTGACTACCTTCAGACGATACAAACTGTCCAATAGCACTAGTACCACCAATGCTGTTTTCTTGAAATTGTACTTCAGAAACTATGATGTTATCCTCGAGAACCGAGCCGCAGTTGATGCACACAGCATTACCACGCGAAGGATCAAAATCAATGTCACTACCACCACAATTTGAACAAACTTGAGACATAACTCCACCTGTAGACACTAGAAAAACCTTGGTATACGAAAATTCAACATTACAGCTGTTTAGTTCAGAAATTACATCTTTTCTTCCAGTTCGGTCAGAATTCAAGTATTACAAAGGATCATGGGAGATACCAATATTAGTAGGGAGGAGTGAGTCGTTATTGCCACATTTGTTTATCTGCTTCATCATTAATTCACTCGTTGAACCCAATCAACCAAGGAACCTTCTTCAGAAAATATTGTGCAGTACAAAAAGACTTGTAAGATTTGAACAACTGAAAGACTTGATAACCATTAGTTTTGTGGAGAATCATGACAGCTAGAGTACTAGTAGTCACGGTGCTACTCACAGGTTAGTTTGCTGTGTTGGTATGATGCTCGAACTATGTTACTGCAGTATTTTACCGACGGTTTTTTATACGTATTATTGGTATTGTCATGCATCAATATTGAAGAATTGATATGTAAACACCAGTCTAAAAAATAGAAATCCAACTCAAGGTGAATCTGAGATGTTAGAGCGAGAATTACTTGAAATAAAATTTTGATAGTTTGTGTTGCGCATACATATTTGGACGTCACGCGATATGACCTGATTTGACTGTTTAGATATTAAACTTTGAAAAGTTCAGAATATAGCGCTGTCATGTTACTAGGCATATCTACCACCGATTCCCAGAAAAAAAAATTTGATTTGTGCAAAAAACATATATTCAAATATTTCCTCTCCCCCAACCTCCAGGTGATCGGTTTCACTGCGTGGAGCCTGCAGAAAACCATGGATAATAAAAGCTTTTATTATACATGAAAAAACTTAAAGTCATTTCAGAAAACCTATATACGAAATTTTCATGAGTCATTGACGATAACATAGTACACACGTAAGAGAATACTGGAATAATTTTTGTAAAATTTTTATTCTGTCATAACACCCATCTGCAACTGCATGCATAACAAATATTATATAACACATCTTTTGTTTTATCACGCGATCCTTCGCAATCAAGAGTCTCCCAGGGTAAGAAGGACGAAAACAACAATGTTTAATTTATAACTACATTTTGTTTACAAGGTATAAACATAGTTTATATACACAAAATATMCAACGTTTTGGATCCAAACGTCATTTTTTAGTTGATTTTATAATTTTTGTCAAAATATAAATTCTACAATAAAAAGGAAACATAGTTTGTTTTTAATTCTCTTCAAGGTGTTAGTGCTGAGACGATGATTGGGAATTGCAATCGAACAACTTTTTCACACGGAGCAATGTTATGTCAGCGTTATGCCGTTGAAAACTTGCTGTACGTCCCCAAAGCAACATGCGAGTAAGTTACCATGACAATAGAGACAGTAGTTATATTTAGTAATGAAGAGAGATGATTTGTTCTCCGCCCATTGTCGTGATTATTTGTTCTCCACCCCTTGTCAATCCTGAACGATAATGTGTTTAATTTGCTTTCATAGATCTGAGTACCTCAAACAAACTAATTGCATTACAAAACACGTCCAAAGCTGTCTACAAGGAACATCGTTGAGTCCTTTCTGGGCATTTGTTGTTGATCTGATAAATCATGTTGTGATGAACTGTGGCAGTGGTAAATAACATTCAATGCATTGATATTTTTCAAACAAACAGCTGAAGGCTAGCCCCAGGTCTACCWATACTAACAGGACAATGGCAATGGCCTGCGCCGCGTATCTTTGTGYCCGACMCCATCTATCGTGTAGGAACGGCTATCTTGTAGAAMACATTTTGGTTACAGCGAACGCTGCAGCTTATTTTTGACGTTTTGTAAGAAAAGAGAAACCAAGGGTTTGTTTGGTGTCATTACTCTTTGTTGCATGTTGTCTTTCTTTCAGTTTCTGGGGTTGTTAATGACTATTTGCTCCAAGAGTTAAAATGTGGTGGCGCCAAAAAAGCGTTTGATCGAACTAAAGACTGCTGGACTGACTTTGCTGATAAGGTGAAAGCAAATAAAACAGATCCTTCATTATGCAGGTCAGTAAATATGTTGGGCCTGTCTATGCCTCTTTTAAGTCCCTTTTAAATCACAAAATGTCATTGATCAACGGCTATATCGAATTTATACAAGTTTAAAACAAGYAAGTTATTTCACATACTTTTTTTACGGTGTTAAATTTATCTTTTTAMACAACAAGTTTAAAACAGATCTTATCTCCCATCACTACTGACTGTTTTCAGCGTGTACGCTACAACTAAGCACTGCGTTGCCAACATAACAAACAAAGAATGTCCTGAAGTGAGAATGGAGGAGGACCATTGTAATCCATTCTGTGATAATAGAACAGATGATCATCGACAATGCCCAGGTAGGCACACACATGCATTGCATGGGCCAGTGAGCTCCGAAGAAACTTTCCATGGATTGCCGCACTTATTAAGGGCAATCTTTATTTCTGTCATTTTTATAGTGACATCAATAACCTTGGTTTGTGAAACACAGTTTTACTTCGAAAAGAGGAAAGTCTGCGAAAAACCGTTTATTGATAGTATGGCACAAAAAGGAAGCTGTGGGTATGTGCATCAACTTTCTAAGGAAAAGTTACATGTGAGCAATCATGCACAGTCTCAATGGGATAGTCAAACTAACGCACTAWAATCACCAAGTCATTTTGACAATGAAAACATATCCTTGATCATATAAAGTGATGAGCATTTATTTTAAAATGACAGAGTCGAATCACCCAAGTTTGTGTCATGTGTCAAAGACCACTATAAAGCATGCTTTAATCCACGTGTTGACAACGCCCTTCTAGACCAACTTGTCGACATAATGGTGTCCACTTCCAACGCTCAAAGGATGTTCTGTGATGCAGCTCGCGTGAACACTTCAGCAGTCCCATCGTCGTTAAATGCCATTTCCACGTGTAACGCAAACTTTTCATCACCAGCTAACAACTGTGTGAAGGAGTTTAAGGAAGCATATTCCAAGAACACTGGGGCTATTCTATGCAGGTAAAACGACATCATGCCTTATCGACGAAGTCGTTCTTTTATATTTCAACTTTCTTTTTCATGTACGAGCAAAGAAATCTTTTTAGTCAACCAAAGCTCTAATTGATGTTTTTTTCTGCGTTCACAGTATGTATGAAAATGCCAGTTCATGTTTGTACAAAACACAAGAAACTCACTGCAAATATCCATCAACTGTGCTGCAGATCTTAAATAACTCGTACAACCCGTTCATTTGTAACACATCAACACCGACCCAAGTAGTCATTAGTCGGTCAGGTGGCGCACAGTGTGTCTTGAGGGTATGGTCGATATTGGTTGGCATTCTCTTCTGTAAACTTTGTATACCTGAATATTAAAACGCACCATGTTGCATGACGCACAAAGCGGCAACGGAACAATTTATAATCGACTTTAAGCTACGAAATGATCATCTTCCAAAGATTACATCTTTTTGCAGCTTTTTTAGACATCGCTGAATCAGGTTCATCATAAAGGTTTCGAGAACCTGGCTAGGCTTGCTGCGTACGGTTCTCCAGCGGAAACGAACTTATTTGTCTACTGTATTTGGTCTCCTTGCAAAGAATCTTGACTGAGAAGAACTGGTGACGAGAAATTAGGATCCTTCCTAACCCCCTCCCCCCACTGGCATCTTGTTTTAACTTAAACACAGGAATCCCACTGAGTAGAGTTCCCTGAAAAGGAAGCTACTAGTCACTACAATGACATGACAGGTCTCAAGCTTCTCAGCCGTAGTTCTCATTCTATCAACTTTAGCACTTGGAAGGAAGAGCAAGTTCCCCCAGATTCCAAAAAAATTAATTTAGTAAATGCCCATCTACTTTGGTTCAAAGGTTCTTGGATGCATTTTTGTCTTTTAACTAGGATGTTTTTTTAATCAAATTCATTAATAATTAAAAAGAAACACTTAGGAAAATCATTGCCATGACAAAATCTTTATATCAGCAAGATACTTATCCCGATTTGCATACAACKTTAACTTCTATTTTCTCTTAAAACAATATTTTATCTTGARGTTTTTTACTTAAAGGTGCTTTAGTTTTGTTGGGATTTGATAAGCTATATAGAATATTCATGACTGACCCTTATGGACTTTAAACTGCTCACTTCMAGCCTGTAGTTTTAAATGCCYATAAAGGTCTCYAACTCATACTTCATATTATATCACATATTAAAATGTTTACACACAGTAATTTGATTTTCATATTTATGCACAAATATCATGCCATATTGAAGGGATTCATATTCACAGGTCTATGTGTCTTAGCAGTTTTATATATACTGCATGTATTTATTGAATAGTTACTAATATGTAGATAAACTTTTAAATAAGTGTTGATAATAGCCAAAGTGGCCAAATAGCAAAATTCTCTCTAATATTTGCTCTGTTACAGTCAAACTACTGAATAGATTATTCAACTGAATAATCAAATTGCAAAATGCAATTTATAGATACCTGGTGGCGCTTTAAAAGATTCAAAATTGTGTTCTTCTCATAAAGCTAAACTAGTTCTAAATGAGATATTCATTTAACAAACTTTTGAAAGCTGAGGAAGAGCATTTTTCAATTTGATTAATCAGTTGAATAATCGATTCTTGAAATCAAGAATAATGTCTATGAGTTCACACAAGTTTGACTGTAATAATAGAATACAAGAAATTGATAGTTAAAAAACATCAATGCAAATGTAATGCAGTTTTCCAGTGGTGGGAATGCTCATGGAAGTGCTCAAACTAAGCTATTATTGCACTTCCAAAATACTACACTCAAGTGGTTGATTTTTCTCTATCAATCTGGATAAATAAATCAGTATACAGATCATATTCAACATTCATCATATAAGCATTTCCACCCTGGTGAAGTTTCTCCTGGGTAATTCTCTAGTCATTTTATAGAAARAAAACTAAAATATTTTACAATAGAAAATTGAATGCAATTTGGCTATAAACGAAAGAATGACTTAAACAATGAAAGAAATCTACCCAACACTACCCACAATCCTCTTCTAATTTTCCTGACAAAGAAAGGTGATAACATAAAAATAACAAAAAGAATCTTAAGTAAAAAGAATGTTAGTAACCCAGGTTTCTTGAATGGCTGATTTCTTGAAGACAATGCAAAACCTTTKGGATCTATTAACCACTTCAGATATAAGCCAAGCTGTCCTACAGCTACACTAGTCATTTCTGGCAAACACCTACCATCTAGAAAATAATATTGTGTATATGAAATTTTTAAATCAACCTTACAGTAAATAGTTTGCAGAATATACAGCAAGATATATATCAAACCAACTGACAAACAGATACTAATGTACAGAGAGAAAAATACAGCACCAGAATTCTATCTTACCTTTCACAGTGCCATCTTTTATAGTCATCTCAATCCCAAAACAACCACGAGGTAGTTGCCATTTAATAATATCAGAAATTCTCAGGTGTGTTACTTGCAAAAAGTCTTCAAATCCCAAGAGAGTACAAACAAAAAAAGCATCAAGAAATGACAAAACATCWTCTCCTTCTTGGTTGGTGTCAGAATCATGAAAAGATGATACTTTAGGGTAAAGCTTGTAGCAGATATCATCTGATAATTCTTCAACTGTGATTTTCTTCCATTTGTCATTTACTTTACTGGAGCAACCTGAGCAATGGATGGATGATCATCATTGATTATCATGACTTAAATAACTTTCTACTAAATATACACAACCACTTGTTTCACCTACCTAACAATTGCAATGTGGAAAGTATGACTGCTTGATCAACAATAACAGAYRCAGGTGCCATTTTAGGTTCAAGAATCTTAAAACAGTTGACACTTATGATGCATTTTTTACCAAGTTGATTTAAGTCTCCTATGCACAACYGAAAGTCCAATGGAACAGCTTTATCCATTATTTGTAAGTCAATTCTGTCTTGTTTTTCAATATTGATTGACTTGTATGGAAGAAAACCAGGCCATTCTGATGATATATATTTCTTAAAACCTTGAGTGATGTTTGCATGTTTGTAGATATTTAGTACTCTTGGTATCAATACGTTGAATTTGGCACACAATAGTTTGATATCTTCTAGGATATCATTAGGTACATATATTCCAGGGGATCCTACACAGTTTTCTACCACTCTTAAAAGTGCATCTGAAACAAATGGAATAAAAGGTCATTTTGACATTTTTCCAATAAACCTTTGTTCAGATGGGCAACATAATCAGAAAAATATATAATTATGTTGGTATTATTTTATTAATGTTCACACTAAAAATCAATGTCAAAAAATTGGGATTTTATCCCATCAGGGGGATTTAACCATTATTATATCACATACTAGTTGTAACATGTCACACTATGTAAACAAGGGAAATTTCAAGAGAGTCTAGACATGCATAAGTTTAGACAACATAAGCTTATTAATTAATCAAAAGGGAACCATACTTTCAAAAAATGAGAAATAATAAATATAAGTATCAAGAAGACAATAGAGAATTTCAATCAACCAAGTGATGAAAACATACCCACCACTGAAAAAAAATCCCAAAGTTCGAAAATGTGCCAAGTTGAGAAAAATCAGTAGGAAATTGTTGTCAATTCACCTTCTTTAAGCTAGATTTTAACTTTCAACAACCCTACCAATTCCTCAATTATTGGCTCACCTTTTGCAATGCGAAGTCCAAGCAGTTCATCTGCTGTSACTCTGTCTTCTCTAAGTTGAAAATACGATATGCTTTTTGCCAGTGATTGAATAGTTTTTACAACTAGTAACCCAGAGTCCGACTCAACCTGTTGCGATCTGGTGTGAATGAACCGACTCTGAACCAAGAAATATAGCGTAATCATAGACAATATCATATTGCTGAGAATGCTCAACTGAAGTACATTTTTACGAATTAAAGGTAAATATTGATTGTGATATAGAAATACTACAAACAGTGTAAGAATAATAAGTAAATTTACCATTTACCACCAACAGCTGTTGGATTCCATAATGCAATGCGCCCATAAACACAGGAAGCCCATAAAACTCACGATTGTGAAATAGGGTGTTTGGTGGCTACTTTCATGTTTACTTTTCATAATAAAATACATGACTAAGTCATAATTTGCCTAGCGAAGGTGATCGTGTATAGTAGCTAATAAGTATAATGCTAAAAACCATAAAAGTACAATAAGAGAGTCGTAATTAAATATACTAAAGATACGTCCCGTTAGATCCTGTTAGCTTATCACATATAAATGGATTTTCCTTTTGAAACGAAAGATAATACCCTCATAGAAGTGTTTCGAAATTCCCCTGAGTTTCCTTCCCCATCACCTCCTTCTCTCTCCCCCACGATTCGCAAGCCTTAATCAATTCATACCGAGAGGTGTTTTTAATTGATTTATTGTTCAAATCAATAATTGACTATTTTAAAACTTGAAATAACTTGAAAATTAACAATTTATTTTTCCTGAACATCATAGCATCACTAAACTAGTCCATAAGCTTCATTTGACCAATTGCTTCTGACAAACAATGGAAGCTCTCTCACAGAAGTCTTCAAACATCCGCTACAAGAACAAAACAGGGTGGATTAATACTCAYTCCACCTCCGTATATACTGGTATGAGTTTCATTTGTAATGATATGTTTGGTGCGTTTTTCACTGACTAATTTCACTCTTCGAGACTATGAAGAAAATCATCCACCCTCCCTCTTTCCAGGGCAATCACACCACGATGACAAAGACACTGACAATAACTCTGATTACTACTAGTGATAATATCTGAATGTCGGGGAAGAGAAACATGAGCAGCGACAAACAAGTAACAGAACTGAACAGTGAAGACTAGAAGAACAGTGTACTAACAAGTCATTTTAGGGGAGTTACATGTTTATCAGCCCAGAAAAATAAAGGAAAGATATGTCATAACTGGTTGTCTCAAGGAAAAGAAATTCACGGCGAGAGGAGAACGTCAGTTGTAACACTAGAGCTGTGACAAATCTGGCCTTACAGCTTCACAAAAACATGTAATGAATCCAACTAACCTTGTTCTCTGGCTGTCTTAACCTTTTGTTTCGCTTGAACAAGGACGCGGTCGGCGGTATAGCTCCATGCGGATTGAGACTAAGACCRGCAGAAATACTGACTACTTCAATAACTGCATTTGACAAGAAAATGACAAGTAGAAGTTGGACAATGAAGGTATTGGTCATGATGCAGGGTGGCAGAAGTGGGATTGCATTCAATCCAAATGTGTAGACCTCTCTTTTTTCGGTAAGTATTTAAAGGACTCAACTAATTATGTGATTTTATGATTTCCGTTATTAGAGATGGATACTTTTAGCGTATGACAGGTTCGGTATTAACAGACTCTTGTACTAGGACTGTTTAAGTKGCAAGTCACGTATTATTTACTGCTATTTTACGTCAATAATACATGGTGTGGACGGCGTCAATGATAATGTTATGAGGGCAATTAGCTTGGAGGTATAATGAAYGCCCCGATAGGCACTTTTAAATACTATATGAAGATCAACACGTCGCGTAATTGCTCTGATTTGACCATTTTTTAACACTTAGAACCAAGATCCTGTTATTTAAACGATTAAGGTACTATTAACAAGAACGGACCGGAAAAAGATATCTCTTGTGTTAAATGGTGCACTCTACATTAAATAAAAAGTATGTTTTGCTGTGCAGCAATCAATGTCTTTTCCGCGCGACTAGTTAATTACTAATGAATATCGCTGTATTTTTAGTTAACTTGAGTAAAATACATGACCACACCAGAGCCCAATAACAACTTATCAAAAATATCCTTTATGACGTCATTGATATTTATCGTGCATGTTGGCGTCAACATTAGGTCATGTGATTTCATGAAAAAGTTGTTTGTAGTTTTCTTTGAAGCCGTTAGTTTTCTATTGAAAGTATAGTTGAAGGTATTGCCTAACACTAGTTTGTTTGGACGCGATTTAGTTTAAAAAACTTCTGTGTATCCTGGATAATAGTGAAGGAGCACAACACTATGAGACCCATGGGGGATATGGGAGTATATTTTAAGGTGCTCTCGTTAATCATCTCTGGCTAACTCTGTCCCTGCCCATGGCATGATAGGACTTGGTAAATATTGACCTATATTTGCTTAGCCYTAGGCAAATATGCTACTATAACATACARCGGACGCTGATTTGAACTAAAAATACAAACGATTAGTATGTCTTATCAAAAGTATTTTCGGCAACCAATTCTTTTACGTCGTCTTGCAGATTGTCTACTAAATGACGCAGGAAGTGCAGAATAACGTCGTCCCCTGCCTACAGTGATGCACGTACTGTTCTGGAACTTGTTTTTATTTATTATCATTATATGCATGAGGACGGGGAAAAATACACTGATGTCGACTAGGTTTTATTCAGTAGTACAGCATAACATGACTAAATACTGCTATGCCGAATTTCAAATTTATTGATCGAAAGGTATATGAATAGCTAACGAGACCGAGAGGTTTTAGTATCCACCAAACTATAGTGAAAATTTAAAAGAAGAAAACAACAAAGACCATTTTTTTCAACAATTTGTTTTGACTATTTTTTCTTCATTCAAAGCGACCTTGAACTTTCTTCATATATCGCGTTGTTACGGATGAAGTCCAACCATTTCCATATACTCAGCGGAATGGTAGTATAGCTTTCTTGAACAGGCTTTGATGTCTTCGAATCCGTCGAATTTTGCTAAAATCCATGAAAAAAACTGACTAGACTATCGAATGTGGCGTAACTTTGCATACATTTACATGATTTTGAAACATGATATGTCCACCAATATGGCGGCCAACCGAAAACTGATCACGTGTTATCACGTGGGTGAAATCGATCTATATCATGAATGGACCATAGATCAGTGTCCAATTAGAATGCTTGATTTGTGGTAGCCCGTAGTTTGGTGGATACCAAGTCACATTAACCTTATATTTGTCAGCAGAACTGATAGTGAGTAAATGTATTCAACTGAAGAGTCTCTCTTTAAAATCATGGCTTTGTTATAGAACATAAGAAGCTATGTATACAATTTGACTCATTTATTTTTCTTTAGTGATGATAATCTGGTAAAGTCTTGTAGACGATTGTAATTTCTATTTTGGCACTCAGTATTTTAACTTAATTGCTCTTTATATAGCTATTTTAAAATAGGTAATTGTCACATCGAAAGGCAAATGCACGACCGAAAATTGCTGTTGGTATGGATTATTGATGGCAATATTCACTCACGAGACATCAATAACGTCGTTTCCATCAAATAAAGATTTTCGACGGTGATATGTTTGGTGTATTTTCCTACACAAACAGAAAACCCACATTGAATTTAGGTCGTGCTGCAATCGCCGTTGCGCTCTGACAACTTATTTTGAAATAGCTATATCCATATTTCTCTCGTTAAAAGCGCACTCTTTCAGTAGCTCGTTCTTTTGCTTTTTAATAATGTTTGTTTATTTGGCTGGCGAGGCGCTTTCCTTAGTTTTTTTATTATTTAGTTTGTTAGTTGCTTGATAGTTTTGTATAGAGTGGAGCGACCAGAACACTCAGTTTGCTGAAGAAGATCGAATGACCGAAACGTCCAGAGTTTACAAGTTGCAAATAACGTGAATTTTTTTCTGTTTGTATAATGATTGATTTTTAAGCTAAAGATTATTGAAATTCCTTCTTGATTTATTAATTACAACTAGATGGTTTCGTGTGAACACCTCATCGGGTGATCACGCTCGTAAGGAAGTTACATTCATCAGAAAAACAGCTAGTAGCAATAAATCAATGAACTGAAAATTCCAAAAATCTCTATAGTTCTTTGATTATTTATCATTCTCTACAAAGTTGAGAACTACGAAAACTGTATCAAGTGTGCTATCCGTCTTTATCGAGAAGACGCACGTCGAGGAGACACGCCTTGTTCGTCATAGGTGTGGGAAGTAAGGAAGGAAGACACTCAAAGACTGAACTGAGGTGACCGGTTCTGCAATCAAAATCTTTTGAGTTGRCAACCTTTTCCTTGGCGCCTGTGAAACAATCCATACTTGTAATGTTTGAGTTCAATTCAACGTATTCAAAATAGACTCTCTAATTAGTTATTGGCTCCCCATAGATATGACTTTTTGTGGAGCCGTGAATATTAGCTTTTTTTAGTGATTAGTTTACTTGGTTAGAATGCTCCAATTTGCCATAAAACATTAAAAATAAGATTAAATTCTGACTAAAAATTTGCCGACTATTGATCGGTTTGAAAAAAGAAAATGTGATATTTTTGTCATTTATTGGTTTGATGTAATTTCACGCAACSCMAAATGGAGTGGTTTCACCTACTTTGAACAACAACTTATTTTAATAAATTATATTAAATAGCACTTTTTGTCAATACTCCCAGTATTACGACAGACTCATTCTCACTAGTGTTTATTAAATGTGTTGCTTCAAGCTGTTTTAATTTCATATCTAGCTAAACATTATACATAATTGATTAACACTCGAGTCGGTCTTTCCTCTTTTCCTTTCAAAATTAACACGTCTTTTCTCATGCCATTTTTATTTAAATTTACCACCAGGCGTGGGTAGTCCTTGTTCAAAGACTTGATTTAAAGTTTAAAAGTCCATTTAAGGAATGAAAACACGATCTGGTAACAGCGGTTTAAATCTGTTTGCTAAGTGCAAGGAGTTCAACCAACTTTAAACAAGATGACAAAAATCTGTTTTTTACTGTACATTGGTTTAATTGTATTACTCATCGATGGAGGTAGTGGTTACTCATGGTCTGCCAAGGCAAGTGGGAAAAATAAATATGTTGGGCGAGACGAACAGCTTCGTCGAATGAAAGCCTCAAGTGACGTCAGACAAAGAGGCGATCGATGGAGAGAGTCTGTAAGTTTGGAATATGCAGAAATGCTTTTCTGTCACTTTCGAACATAAAGATAGTAACTAATAAGTTTTTAAAGATTTCTTATTATAAAAAATGCAAACATATGAGAGGCGTTGCAAACTAGCCACACCCGTTTTGCCTTTCAGGAATTCATAACCTCAGGAATAGGACTTTTGAGCTAGATATTTTGCATTTGATTTAAAACTTTGTTAATTTTCTTTAAATGAAGTCTAACCAGTTGAGCCTTATATATAGCATCTATCAAATCGCTGCATCTGAATTGGACCCATCGATGTCCAAACTCCATTGCT